TTTGAAATCATATTTTTTTTCCTATGCTTCTAGTGAGATTGAATGCGTCAACTATGAACTGGTCTCGTTATTATCTGCTACTTTTCCTTGAAGAACATCAAATTTTTGTTTAGCAAGACAGGTCCCGGAAATACCTGGATGTTCTGATGTTATGTTTGAAGCGTAAGTTAAAAAAGATTGCTTTGAAGCGTTGTTGAAGCATATTGTATAAGAAATTGATATCATTTGCACATCATACAAAGGTTATCCTGATATGGCGTTAGTGATCAATGTGATCCAAACACTTTGCATAGAAATATTCTGAGCTATTTGAGGGAAAATTAGAAAAAAATCAATTTCAACTGGAATCTTGGGCTCTTCAATCAGCTTGAACAATTTCTGTGGTTGAACTTGTGGTTCAGAAGTGACTTCTCATGCGTTTTCAAAACCATGAATCAATTGGAAAGAGTCATAATGCAAATCTTTATCCATTGTGAAGTAGATACTCAAACTGAGTACTCCAACAAAGCAGCAGATACTACTTGTAGAGAATTTAGATGTACAAAGTAGGCCACTTAAAACCCCAAATCATCACTAAGTCCCCCGATGTATCCATTGGATACTCTCATGTGATCATCAAAATGTGTCTCATGGTATAAGTTTCAACCTCCATCATGAAATTCATTTGAAATTCTTTCCAAAAATTGCCACTTTCTGAATTAGAAATCTTCCTTTTTTATCAAGGATTTGTGAACTACACCGAGTTCAATGACTTTCTTCGATTGAAGTCAAAGACACAACAATTAAAATATAATTATACATGCCAGCAGAAAACCATGTGGCTCAACGAAGTAAAACATAGATGTGGATGTCATCTTTTTGTGCTAATGACGTTATTTGTAGCAATTGATATTCATGTTGATTATAACCACCACTGTAAGTTAGAGTGCATTCAATTTTGCAAAATTTACCTGCAATATCACATATTTCCAAGTAGAAATTGTTGATATACAGTCGAGTACATAAATCTTGGAAATCTTTTGTAATAGAATTTGTTGATATACAGTCGAACACTAAAATTTAAATATAATTCCGTAAAATTCTGTAATAGAAATCTTAGAAATTTTATTATTGTGAACATCAAACAACTAGCATTTTAGTGTTCATTGTTCAAAACTTATCAAATCTTGCAAAAAGAGTCTACAACATGTCGTATTGAATTATTGATTGTTTCAGGAATCTAACTTTTTCAATTTCTTGTTGATGAATTAACGCACTTCTAGCTCTTTGAAGTTTAAGAAGCAACTATTTTGAATGTCTGTAGATAAAGATAATTGAATAGAAAAAAAGTTGATCAAATTATTGAAATCCTAATTTGTTTGCTTGACGGTCATCAAAGGCGGTATGTCATCAACATCATCATCATTAGAATTGTTGGTACTTTGGAGTAGATTAGGTTATTCCAAAAATGATTTGACAATGTTAACATCATCAACATGGTCGTTGCTAGTAGCATCAACAATATCAATTTCAATAAGATATTCGGCAGCTTTTTCAATATTTGTGTCATCAAGATCAGGGAACGTTAAAAAAAAAGATTCAGTCAAATTTCTTGTATATTTTTCATCAAATCATCCACGTGTTGACTTGAACTGGAGCAAATCTATCAATATCTTGGTTAGAAATCACATTGGATACAAGAAGTAGAAAATTGGCTTTCAGAAAAAACCTTCAAATAGTATTTTTATCAATGTCATCCGATGCTATTACTTTTACCCAACAAAGTAAGTTGCGTATGTATGTATGATTGGAAACTGATCATTGATCGGAAACTGTGATTGAGATGCATGTTTATTGTTCCGTCAGATTTCAGACATAAAATGATTCAATTAAGCACGACGAAAGTGCGTTTTGAAAAACTGAATGATACCTTGATGAAGAGGTTGACATTCGCTGGTAACATTGGGCCAAAAAAAATGATTCACATTCTAAAATCAGAAAAAAAATTCTGTCCATTCAGATGGATCTAAGATTTTAGACGCACAAACATGAGATGAAAAATTGTCTAAAGTATGTAAAAGATGCGATTGCAATTCTTGGCAATTCTGTTGTACTTGTGAAGCAGATGCATATAAGACAATATATGTTGCCAAACTTTAGCTTGATTATCATACATAATTGCTAACGCTTTATTGATATATAGAATATTCTTCAAAGCAAGTGGACAAACACTCTTTGTAACTACTTGCGTGGTAAATTTTTCACCTTAACCGTTAACTTCAAGTATCACTGTGATTTATTCTTTGCTTTGCTTGACTCCACAACCATCCAAATTGATTGTGCAACATGATTTTGATAATGTTGTGCGGTGCTGAAAATCCGATTGGTCAATGTTGATAATACATTTGAGTGATATATCAATCAACAGTTTGCAAATTTGATTCAGACGTGTCTCCACCTACATGAGACTAAGACTATGTAGTTCCTGCACCTCCTCTTACTGGATGTTGAGATGCGCTTGAAGTACTTATCCAACCATCCATTTGACGTGACAAATGTTTGAAGTAAAATTATATCTGACAAGTTTAAACATTACTCAAAGTCAAGGAAACTCTTATCACAAAAAAACAAAGTAGTCTTCTTGAGCATCTTGCAGGTCACATTAAGTGTGAGCGCATCAATCTCAACACAAATTTATCATTGATGCACCACGTACGTAAGAAGTTGAACACACGTTGATGTAGAAACGTTTTCTACATCTCGATGTAACAATTAATTGCTCATTTTTTGACTCATATCGATTTGATTCTAACGCCATCTGTTTGATAAACTCTTTGTACTTCAAAATTTTTGAAGCAATTAGATGTGCCACCAAAAATGTTGATGCTGCTTGTTCATATAGATGGCTCCATGCTGATTCAGAAAATTCAAAACCGTTTTCGTCTTCACATCCAACCTATTAGTTTCAGATATGTGTACACAACCAAAGCTACAGCATTGAGAGAGAAAAAGGATGGAAAACATCTCGTCAAAGAGCACACGAAACAATGAACTGTTCGGGTGAGGTGGATGAGAGAGAAAAAGTACGGAAAACAGCTCGCCAAAGAACACACGAAACAATGAATTGTTCGGGTGAGGTGGATGGGAGAGAAAAAGGACGGAAAACAGCTCGCCAAAGAGCACACGAAACAATGAACTGTTCGGGTGAGGTGGATGAGAGAGAAAAAGTACGGAAAACAGCTCGCCAAAGAACACAAGAAACAATGAACTGTTCGGGTGAGGTGGATGAGAGAGAAAAAGTACGGAAAACAACGCCAAAGAACACACGAAACAATGAACTGTTCGGGTGAGGTGGATACTTAAAAGCAGTGTAATCTCATGTGAGTGACAACTTCAGATAGCGACATGAAACCCTAGAAACGACATGTGTCACTATTGAGAAATTTAACTTTGTACAGAGTTAAACCTCCCAATAATGACATACATCGGATTTTTAGTTTTATGTCACTATTGGGAGGTGTCACTCACACGAGGTTGGATAATATTTAGTGTATCATGTGGCAACATTCTTATTGCATGTTTAGCGGATCTGCTAAATATTTAGCGGATCATTTGGCGGTTCGAATTTGAACTTACATCAACAATGATAAGTGAAATTATAGTTATTTGATGTTTACAATGAGAAGATTTCCAATATATAAGATTTCTGTACTTGCCTGTATATCAGCAATTTCTACTATACAAGATTTTTAAGATTTCTGCACTCTATTGTATATAGAAAATTTTTACTACTCAAAGAATTACATGTCTCAATCGAGAAGCAATTTTTCTCGTTTAAGAAATATTAATAACCAATTCTGCTTGGTAAATTGGTAAATTTTGCAAAATTTTGCAAAACTCTCTAGATTACAATGGTGGTTAAAATCAACATGAATATCAATTGTCAAAATTGAATTTTTCCATTTTCCCCTTGACTCAGAAATTTGAGCTGGTTGAAGAGCCCAAGATTCTAGTCGATATTGAATTTTTCAATTTATCCCTTATATGACTCGGAATATCTCAATGCAAAGTGTTTGGATCACATTGAACATTAACGTCACCTTGGAACAACCTTTTTACAAATGATGTGTAAAATTATATCAATTTCGATAAGATATGCACACTTACTTAACTTATGCTCCAAGAATAAAATCAAAACATCAACATATTTTTGGGAACTGTCTTGTTAGACGTATATTTGACTTCTGTCAAATAAAAGTAGCATATGATAACAAGAACAGATAACATTTGATACATTCAACATTTTCATAATATAGTTACAATCATGATTCAACCTCATTGGAAGCATAAAAAAAAACATAGAATTTTAAATCCGAAAGTTATGAATATTTCGATAATTATGATAATCATTAAAGCTACACCATGTCACTCTTGTCAATAGTGAGTTTCTTATTGAACAAATTTATATGTTAGAAACTAATGGTTCCACATTTTCATGTCACTCAAAAGAAATGACACTATTGGGAAATTTGACTCTCTAGTGGATGCCGCGGCGGGGTTCCTTTTTCTCGATCGAAAATTTTATGGTATGTTGCCTTCATGTGGCGGGGTTCCTTTTTCTCGATCGAAAATTTTATGTTATGTTGCCTTCATGGAGCTTGGCGGCGTGGTTGGAAGTTACCGAGCTGTAAAATTTTAATTCTAATCGCGACAGTTAAGTGCACCTGTAGAGTGCCGAACCTAAAGCGCAATCGATTAGGTGCCCCGAGGAGAAAGGACACAAAAGGCTCACCATCGTTTCAGAGAAATATGCTCCCGATCCGTCCGGCGAATTTTTAATCCACAAAGCACTATCTCAAGCCGGAGACAGTGATTGAGACAACTGTGACAGACAAAAATGCGCCCTCGCTATCATCACAAGACTTGGACAGACGTTGAAAATCTATTCTAGGAACCTTCCGACTCTGACGCGTTAAGACTGATGCACCCACCACACGAGCCGCAGTACACTAACTCATGTAAATACGCATACACAGAGCTCAAATCGTGGATTTCATGTTACAAAAAATACAACGATCGTTTTGTGTAAAGAATGTTCTAATCAACTAAATCTAAAGCGTCGAAGGAACTGACCACCATCCATCCTACCTCGCCATACAACCTAGCTCCATATGTGGCCTCCTAGGGACCCTTCAAGTCTAGGGGCATCTTACATAATCTCTTGACTGAAATAGGCTTTCCGCTCGAAGTACTGGGATTACGGACATCAACTCGCCCTTTCCAGGTCACTAACTGCAAAGAGAAACTTCCCTTGTCTTGGGGCCTGACCTACTTGCATCCCGGATCCCAATCGGTAGATCGGGACGAGGAATAAAACCTTCTGCTTACAATTACAATCCCAGTAGGAGAATATGACATACTGGATGGGTTTAGTTTCAGCATTATATACGATTCGCCATCTTATTTGGTCTCCTCGAAGACGTCATTGCTCCTCGATCCAACAAACATTGGAGAGAGCTCCGAAGTCAAACAAACACATTTGTAGTTCGTAGTCAGGAATTTGACAAGTTGAAGCCTTCCGCCTTCAAATAGCAAAGGCCTTCAGAGCAAGTCCAGAAAGTTCGGCTGGTCTTTGGAACCTGACTTCGATCTCGGTGAACCAATACCTCTAATTGGATTTCTACCTCTACCTTTACCAAGCCCCGAGGGTGGAGGAGGAGCCAGTCTTTTCGGAGCAGCATCTGACTTTTGTTGCGTTTGACTTCCACCAAAGAAGTCCCCGAAATCTGGCTGATTCTGTTGGATTGTAGGACTTATACCTGTAGAACTCGACCAATCATTAAGATTCGTCACTGTATTTCTCTGAGTCACATCTTTCATAGGAGGGCCGCCAACACCACTGGACCAGCTAGCTCTCATTGGCTCCCCTCTACTACTGCTGACTTCAGCTGAACCTCCAGAAGTGTTCACATTTGTGGCAGGGCGGGGAGGCCAATCAGCAAATGGATCGAAGTCGTCTGATGACGCAGCATTAGTACTTCCATAAGTACTTGTATTCACAGGAATCGATTCGGCTGCAGGCTTTGGTCCAAGGCCAGAGACACCTATTTGACGGGGCGGCCATTCAAAAGGAGCCGGGTCGGAAAGGGTTTTAAGGGGAACCTCTGGGACCATTGAAGTGGACAAAGAGATGGGAGGGAAGGCGGCAGTAGTAGAATCTGAGGTTTTCAACGTTGAGTGAGAAATAGGCTGTGAATTTGGGACCGTACTGTTGCTTGAAGGGATATCTGGAGTGCTGGAAGATCTTTTCACCGTCGTCATGGCTTCCCAGTCTTCTGCATCCCAGGCGCTGGACTTGTTTGTATGCGTGCCATTTACCTTGGTTTTGAGATCGTCTCCAGAAGACTTCTCTGCCCCCAGTGCCATGGTTGACACATCCAAAGTAACAGGTTCTGCCTCAACGACCGTCAAGCCCCTCTTCTCTTCAATTTTTCTGCACGACGGAGAGAGAAACTTGTTGAACCACCCCACATACAACACACTAAAAACCTTTCTTGCACTGACAGAAAAAAGCCTCCTGACTTCGACTTCACCTAAGCCGCTTTATTACGTATTTGAGCTACTTTTCGCATATGAATATCAATGAAGGATGAATGTCCTACTAACTTCAGGCACCTTCTTTCAATCAAGGACAATAGTATCATATCTTTCGCAGAGGCAAAAATCATGAAAAGAATCCTGAGACCGGAGTCAAACCTTAAAATTTCTTTCACAAAATGCATGTACTTGGCGAACTGATGAAGATTTAGTTGCTGGGCAACCAACAGTGGCCCCAAAAGTGGGAGAAGATGTTCTGCCGAGTACTCGATTCCAAACTGAAAACACATAAGCACCGGGGCAGTGAGTTCTTGTCTTTACAACAGGAGCATTCTTACAACACAATCAAAATTGGATCCAAGACGTTCCACCAATTCGTGTCTCTTTGGGTACTTGCTTTAGTTACTCTCAGACAGCTGTAGACGCGAAACAAAATATATCCAAATCTAGAACTAAAGAGTACACACCAATGCACAATCCAAAAGCTACGTAAATTTTCGGTGATTGATTTTCAAATGTGAATGCACACTCTCTCATTCCTCTTTACTTTTGCGTAAACATACAGCTCATTGCCATCTGCGTGTCTTGGAAATGTTATATATTCGACTCTACCGGTCAACGGGAAAGTGTACTCGATAAGGAGACTGTTTAAGTGCATCCTAGCACTGGAAGAAGAGGAGACGGAGACAGAGGGATTTATCCCATAGTAGGAACTTCCCACATATCAACAAAGCAACCCTCAGCTAGCTCATCCACCTGACAATTTACACCAAGCCCCAGTAACTACGATTCAAGAGTCCGACTGCAGTGGGATTTGAATCAAGGCTGGTGACTTTAGTAAACAACTTGGCTTCCTCCAGCAGAGCGAGGTTACGGGTCAGTTGTTAAAAAAAATTTCATGTGTTTGCGTGATGGAGATAAACACACTGTATACAGGATCTTCGTGAGGGAGAAATCATGACAGATCTCTGAGAGCTAACCATCACAAAGGTCTCAATCCTCAGTGTTTATACTGAGATTGAAGCTTAAAACTGAAATTCGTCCATAGTCAGTCAGGATACAGCTGGTTTCCAAACGGCGAGCATAATCATGAGTTGGTATCTGTGCATTATCAATATAAAAGGGTACCTGCTTGTAAATCGCACTGGCAACACCAAGAGTACACATCAAAGTTGGAGCAGAGTGATCAACAGCCGTGCATCGCTTCAGAGTTTGCAGGACCTCCAAAACCGCTGCTTTATCAAGACGCTGAACCAGTTCTCCTAGACACAGAAGAGCATTCACTCGAACCTGTAACGTCCCAGTTACATGAAAGTGAGAACAATGGTTGGAACTCTGATTAATAACCTCACCGCAAAAACACTAATCACCAATCGGAAAGTAAACATTCATGAGATCACTTCGTGAAACTTCGGTGCTTGAACGTTTCCCAGATAGCAGGGAGAAACCTTGGGCTTGCTCACAGGATAAGCCCCTTCACATTTCCACCTACTAATTTTGCGCCTCAAATTTTAGTTTGAATTTCAAGTCTATCATTTCCACAAAATTAAATACAAACCCAACAACCGGAGACAGCAGAAACAATCCCATCAGATCATAGAGGAACTGCGCATGCATGAAGTCTCGACTCACAGCTGCAACAGTGGTTTTGAGAGCGAGTCCATGAACTCGCGGCAAAATAGCATCCTTCAGCATCTGCAAAGCGATTTTCAAGTTTAGTTGCTAATCGGTTCAATTTTCATAAGAAGAAGTGTTTTAAGAGATCATACGAAATAGCTTCCAAATTTTATTCAGTAGTCCAATGAGGCTTGAAGAGTTGATACACCAACTTACTTCTTCTGACTGATGATGACTAGGTCACGGCAACATATTAGAGGCAACTTTTCAGCAGAAACTACAAAACATAGAAAACCCTGGGAATAGAAAGGAAATGTATGAGAGTGATTGGTTCAAGAAACCACTACTGTGCTTTCTCCTTGTGAACAAAAACTCACCTGAAAATCTAACTGTTTGGTAACGGAAAGGGTACGCCGTAAGACTTCTTCCTGCATTCGTGCATCTGGATCATCGTATGCACGGACAAGCATGGGCAGCACACTAGATGCAAGCACCTCTGGTCCCACCTGCAAAGCTTAACGTCAAAATTCACTGAAAATGCTTAATCTGTGTGGCTTCAAGTTCAGACATTCTCCCTGATCCCGCTATTGAAATCTTAAGTATACTATTCATAGGATAAACGCAGATACCAGGTAACGCTATCTTCATGGCGTCACAACTACTGTTCGGCCAAATAAACGGAAATCTGAGAATCACTTTACCCGGCAAAAAAATCCATCACAAGGAAATCTCGTAAAAACTTCAAAACACAACCGAACCAACTCAAATTTATTCCTTTCAATAATGTGGGGAAGGGAAAAACAATGTTCACCATCAACATCTTTCATTAATTTTAGACGCAGATTTGTACCTTGTTAATCAGAAGTCCTGCATGTTTAACTAGTAACAAAAGTGTGTCTCCATGAGCTGAGCTAAGTACGGGAAGAAGAGATGGCAAAGTTGATAGCATGAAGTCGTTTTTATCCTGTAAGAACATCAACACTTAACGTTAGAAGCCAATGGCGGTTGCATGGAGACTGATGATCAGCCCCCTGATTCAAGCAAAGAATGCGGGGAGGGGGGGCAGGGGGGGCGGGGGGTGCGGTTGGGGGTGTTTAGATGTCACACGAATGGTGAATATACGATGGTAGTGACATCTAAACCCCAATTGTATATCTACCGCCAATTGAGAATTTTTCACAGATGCAAAAGTTGACAGCTGGGTTATAAAAGATAATTTCGTTAGTACTGCTTTGCGCTAACTGAAGAGCAAGGCAATCTCGAAACGCCAAACATGTCATCGTTTGCTGAACACTTCAAATCCTAATTCCACAACGACCATCTCTGGGGTACCTGAGACTCAGCTATGGTGAGAACCATAGGTAACACCATAGGCTGCATGACTTCATTACGAAGCTCAGCACAGAGAGGCACCAGCACCTTCACAATCAAATAAGATGACTACATTAAAATACAATTTCAAGGACCACAAAGCACAATCCTCTCACATAATTTTGTACGTCGTGAAGCTTAAAACATGATAACATCGAGAAAAAAGAACTGGCATGAATCAACTGCCAGTAACATGAAGAGGAGGGTCAAGCGAGAGATCAGACCTTGTATCTGAGGACACGTGCATCAAAGCCTGTCCACATTTCGCCTAGTGCTTTCAGAAAATCCGATTTTTGCATATTATCTCTCTCCTGAGAGTGGACGAAAGCGCAACAAATCACATGCTTGATAAACATAAAACAGTGCACATTTGAGCCTGATTCTCTCTCCCACTAGACTTACGTAGTTCAACGCTGGACAGGAAGGCCTTTAAATTCCCGTTGGAAATTCTGAGAAGAAATAATATCAGGAACCAGCTCTACACTCTATTCACCTTTGATCGTCAACTCTGGACAGTTCAAATTTCGTGGGATAGACAGGTTCCAGCAGTGATAGAATTTTAGAACGAAGCATTAGCCTAGTTTGAGGTTAACTCTTTGAGGTTCTCTGTTCAGATCATCAAAGAATTGAACTCAAACTCGGCCAGTGCTTTGCTTCTCAATTGTCGATAGAGAGTGTCGACATTCTTGAATCATCGCAGTTCAAATTCTTATTCTATATCTACAAATATTGCCAAGACCAATTTGGACGTTTCTAGAGGTACCGACATTATTCAGTCAGAAGAAGAAAGAAAGGATCATACAACCAGTCTGAAAGATAGAGGTCCATGAAATTTCAACCTTCAATCACCGCAGCATTGAAAATTTTACAAGTTCAACTTTCTTCGAGTTCAAAGTTAAAAGTTAAAAGTCTCAGATGCGTCGGCTCTCATGAAGAATGGCAACTCAGTATCAAAATGACTTAAGACTTTTTCTCTATTAATCAGGTTAACCCTGCTTTAAGTATGAAAACCACAGAACGCGCAAGCTGGCTGAGCTTGCTATTAAGAAGGTATTCGTCACTTGGGGTAGAGTGGATAGAAGAAGAAAACGAGACAGGACTGACTCAGATTGACGAGGGTCTCTCTTGCAGTGAGCTTTTATGCATCATTACTTGAGAGTTTCCAGGAATCAACCAAGAAACCCTCTATCATCCACTAAGGTCGAAAAAGATAGTCAAGTTCACGACATTCACGAAGGATGAAAAGCTTCGTCTAGTGTTAAACCACATAAGCATCGAAAAGCACAGCCAGATGTCTACGTTGGAAACTGCGTAACAGCCCGACTTATCGTATTGACATACTTACCAGCATGTGATCAAGAAACCGAAGTGCACGCAATCGAGTGTCGTTACGGAAGTAAGCCGAGCCTGTCAAGCAATAAACACAGAACGTGTAAATGAACAATTATCAGCGACAAAGCTTGTGATCGTATTAAAACTTTTGACAGAGTCCTGCTCTACGACGACTCCAGGTCCTAAGTCAAGCCGCGACAAGCGGAAACGCCGCTGAGTTGGCCCTCAAACTAAATTGGGACAAATTGCCATCAGTAACAATCATCAAAAGGTACGTAGCTATATGGTAACAGAAGATTGACCAGGCTTCTTCTCTGAGATAAATCAAACAGACTAATCTCAGAGAATCAGGAATGAACGGCTTGACTTAGTGTCTTGGTACCATAAAAGAGTGGAATACCTTCGGATTGCTAAAGGAAAATATCGTACATCTAACGATTCGCAAACCACTCAGGAAATAATAACGCCATCATTTCTATCTTGAACAGCTACAGCTAGCTATAGGTCAAAATAAGAACCTACTTGTGAAATCCATCGCGCTTGGTCTTGCTAGTTCATCAGGGTTTAGCATTCGGCGCAGGTCTTGTAGCAAATCTGACGGTAGTCCAACGAAATTCTCACTCGATAGATATGTGAGAGTATTAGTGTACTGCACGGTGCACAAAATCTCAATGAGTAAAGAAATAGCAAGTTCTGTTTCACGAAAGAAAAGAAAAGTAGGACCATCGTATAGGCACTTTCATATAAGGGAGATAAAAAGCACCTACTGTTCTGAGGTTATTGTTACATTGAAGAAGAGAACGTTGTGTGATAAGATGAAATGCCACACAGGCAAGACCAAAAACATCTGTAGATGTTCGAGCCGCAGACCCTGGACGAGAGAGCTCTGGTGCAGCATACTCCAGCAGAGGTTGCAAAGGCATCACGTTCTCCTCCACGTCATAATCCTGGTGGCCATTAAAGTAGACAAAGCATTGAACTTCCTATGAGCTTCATAATGTCAATGTAGACGTCCATTCAACTGACTTGGCTTGAAAGTGAACTGTACTCATCAGCAAATGCTTGTCAAAGCCTGAAAGACCATAAGCCCAGCTTAATATGAAAGGCAGCGGTAGATTCGTTGTTCGTTTAGCTATAAATCAAGTAGTGTTTGTTCTTGATATGTTGAGCGTCTTCAGTTGACAAGCCACGAAGATATTTAACTGAAGCTTGATGAGAAACGACTTTACGGCTTTGCTCAAGAAACAGTAGCGAAGACTGGCTTAGGCCATTCTTTGCAAGTCTTGTCGTGTAAGAGAGGTTTACTATATATATTGAGTCTAAATGGAGTCAGAAGACTACAAATCTTACCGGGTAGTGGAAGGCTGGTCCACCGTGACTGTCGTTCACACGTTGTTCTGTACTAATAGCAAAACCAAAACCTGCCAACTTCCAGGCTCCACTAGAGGTGATGTAAACTGCCTGCAGGCATCACCCAAAGAAAAACGTTTGAAATTCGGAAATGTCAACCATCAAGAGCAATACAAATTTGCACTCAATATTCGTTACGCTTTCCCATTTCTTTGTCACAATATCATGAGTTCCAATTCACCTACGTCATGAATGTAGAGTGTAACATTTTCTCGACACCGAACTTCAAGGGAAGAATGTACATCACATGCCAATCTGAGTTATATGGGGGGGACAACGGAGTGGCCCCGATGCACGCATGTAATCAGCTAGATTGATTTCAGGATCTTCATTCCACAATAGATTCAAATTCTCTGTAAATCAGACCCTGAAATGCTTGAAAATACCTCCGGTGATATGGCCCGATGAATAAGGTGTGCATTATTGTGTAAAAAGCCAAGTGTCTCTGCAAGCTGCAGCAGGCCATGCTTGATTTCCAGCTGGCCCAATTCCTGCATATTTTCATTTTCAATAAATTAAATGAGGAACAAATTACAGCTCAAATAATGTGGACATAATGAACAGCTTCGTGTGAATACCGTCTAGCTATGATCAAGAATACATTCTGGGTATCGCTCTCTTCGACAATGACTATGCTTCCCAAGCCAGTAAGCTTAACGGCGCCTGACGGGAGCTGAAGGAAGCAACCGTGACGATCGGATCGGATTTAGGAACAGTATCAAATTTCCAATAAACTCTCGTATAAACACAGGAGTGTGCTAAATGCGCTAGGCCGCCCACCCTCTAACCCGCCGTCCATCTTCAAGCCCAGGTTGATATTTCTTCTGTGGAAAGAGCTGATCATCGCAAGCTAGACTTCGCTACAAATCGAAGGAGCACCGTGCACCCAATTCTCTCACATACCAATTCCCGCAACTACTTTTCTAATCCCAAGTGTTCGAAGTTGTTTCAGAGTGATGAGATATGCTAACCCTCACCTCACTCCCTTGTCATCTTGCCAGGATTCTTGTCCGGATCTACTTTCTCATTTCCAAAACCACCAACACTTGAGAATTCGTCCGTGGCACTCTCAACAGTCTTGAGTGGAATAAATCAAGAATCGGAGATCAAAGAAAAGTTAATTAGGCAGCTGAAGTGCCAATGCTAACTGAGCTAAGGCAGGAGAAAAAGTTCGAGATAAAAGACGGCAAGGTGGAAAGTGGACTAACCAGGTTTTGTAATTCCTTTGGCGTGTTGCCTACATTCTCCAGTCTACCCAGTACATTGGCTACGGATGCAAAAATTGGTTCCGTTACCATAGCCATTGCACCCTTGCTTTCATCAAGCCCTTGGATCACCCTAACTACTCCCGGGTGTCTCAATCTCATTAACTGTGCCGCATCCGCTCTCACGATATCCAAAAACGCATCCTCGGCAGCTTTCGATATGCCCGCTCTCAGTCTCAGATCAATCAGCGACTTCTTGTCCAGAACCCATACACAAACTTCCGGATTATGAATCTGCATGGCTTTATTTCTTGGTCTTCCCGTGAAGAGTTTCCATATCAGTCCTGGACCCCCAGATCCTACTTGGTCTAGAAGTTCATAATCCTGTAGAGGTTTGGGACCCGTTACTTCCTGAACCGTACTCTGCACAGTCTTCTCAATCACTGCTGCCGTCTTGGCCAGCGCCTGCCTGAAAGACTTCATATCGAGAGACATTTTGCATGAGCGCACGTGCTCGGCGATCGGCTCTACGACTCAGCTCTCCTTCCCTCCTCTGCTTGATTTGTTCAAATCCAACCGAGGCCCGGCACATCCAAAACAGAATTGCCCTACTCGAGCAGGCAGAGACGAGAGACAGCGAGCGCGAGAGTGGAGGAGAAGGAGAGAGGGAGAAGAGGGGAACGGTGATGAATTTTACGAGTGATGTTTACTTTTCGTCCGCGTTAGACCTCTTGCGGGGAAAGGACCAAGTCGAGAACCACTTTACTGAATTATAAAAAAATCACGTCAGAGTGACTTTCTGCTCCCTCCGAGTTCCAACTCGTTCCGTTGGTCGATTTCCTCGATTCCGTTCAGAGACCTAATCGATCGTCCATCTCTTGCTCGATCACTCCCCTCACCACTCTCTCACTCGCCTGCCTGCCTGCCTCGAACATCAGCAACAAAGCTCCACGAGATCCCAGAAGATCCCATTCCCCTCCCCTTCAGTCCAGGCCCTTGACCAGTCTCCGCTCCCGCGAGCTCAAACTAGCACATGCGCAGCTTCGGGTATGGGACGCGCGTCATGCTCATGGCTGGACGGTACCTCCAGACTTGCCCAAGCCCGTGTTCGGGCAGCCGCACCACTCTCCGTAATCTAGCATGACGATTCCCCGTCTCCCGCTCGGGCAAATCGGCGGAAATTCACTTCTCCTTCGCTGAAATGAACTCTCTCCGTCAAGTCAACTGCAGTACAGTGGAGTTGTAAGGGCCACGGACACAGCATGTCTCGGACTCTTCGGTGAACAGACACTTCTGCTTCTGCGAGATTAGTTAGTTAGCTCTAGATCGTAGCGTGACATAAGACGGAGAGTTGGCTAAAACACTTGAGAAAAATGTGTTCGAACACAACCTGATTATCCGGAGCCTCCTAATTTCCGGGAGCTTATTCAGGTTTCTTCTTTTACAATATGGTCTTTGTAATAAGGTGAATCGATTTCCTTGGAGCTAATTCTGTCCATCTTCACACACACCATATGGAATCTCATGGAGTTTAACGCATTTCGAGTTGTAATTATTCTTTTTCTCACTAAAAATTATTCCCGTGGAGAAATAGGAAATGTGACCGGTTTGTCTAAAATGCTCAAGAGTTCATGTTTGCATTATCAAAAAAGGTCCATGTTCATATCTGTGTGTGTATAAAAATATGATTCTTTTACATTTATGTATCCTTTGATGACGATCTGAAATGTGTAGACTAGGATTTAGAATACGACATATATCTGACTGAAACTTTCTGTATTAACATTACATGGATTTAAAAATTACCATGAAAACAAGATAGTGGATTGGTGACATCGCCATATGTCCTATTCCACAAAACACACAAAATATTGAATTGGTCACATCTCCATATGTACTATTCCACAAAACACACAAGTAGAGCCGATGGATGGAAAATTATATGGAGAAGGCTGATTTTTATTCATGATTTTCTTGTACTCTTCACGAAGAAACACAGTGTAATGCATTTCGTACTTAGATATATGATTGGCGTGGATGAATCTTGCATGTGATAGAGCTAATCACTAGGAAAGTTTAACGCACTTCCGTGCGAGAACGCACAAACGCAGCCAACTGGTTCATCATTACGAACTAAGTTCATGTAACACGTTAGGCTTTACAATAAAACTCTAAAAAGTATACCCAAGAGCTTTTGTGAGCTCTCTTATCTCACAACAATCTACCAGCTGATGTCTAGGAGAGTGTAACCTACCCAAACCTTTAAAAAAACTCATAATATGGATTTCTCTCTCTAGATTAGAGAGAACTATAACTAAGTTCGTAGTCTAACAATGATAAAATAAAAATATAAAGCAAGATTGGTTACATTTTTAACATGTGCTACTTTGCCCAACCGGTAAAGAGTCTCAATGTTATTGAAAAATTCTCCAAGAAATAAGTTTGGTTAGTGCATCAGTTTGATTAAATTTTCCAATAAGCAATGAAGTAAAATATAATAAATTTTAATATTCTTAAGATAATAAAAAATATAGTTCACAATTTTCTATTGCACTTATTTTTTAAGTTAACAAATACATGTTCATCTTGACCATAGCTAGAGCAAAAATATTTTAGTTCATATCATGAAATTGACCTACACAATCAATTATGAAGTCTTAGAGCGGTACTAGTTGTGCTTTTTCCAACTTTGAAGTCATAGTAACATAATATATAGCAAAAGTTTTGAGAGATTCTCTTTCATTTTTGTCAACATTAATTGTATATATTCTTTCGCTTATCAATGCTACTTTTTGATTTTTTCACTTTAAGCGTTGTTCTGAATCTTATGTGAAAAATCTCCTTAATCTTGGTCTATTTTGATCTTCCTTTAAGATATTCTTTCAATTGAATCTTTTATCTATGTTAGAGTTGTTATCCGCAATTTTTTGACAAAAATGCATTACCCGTCTTGTTTCCAAAAGTTTGTATTCATTATATTTTGTGAAATATTATACTAAAATTTCATGAATATCATTTCATGGATTTGAGCCGACTCACTTTTTGTCAAGTTGTGTTGTTTTGGACAAACATTTGTTCTTTAGATCACAAATTTAACTAAAGTTCAACTCATTCTAATGTCAAATGAGTTTTTCACTTTCCGTGATCATACTGAAAATACACAACACACATATTTGCTATTTTATTTACTTGTGAATTTCCAAACATATCATATTCAAGATAAATAATGTTATCAACGTCCATATGCACAATGTGTTTGCCATGCTACAACAGTTGCAACAAGAACATGGTAGTCTAAAAAATGTCATGAAAGAGCTCCAAGTTGCTCACGGTCTAATTGATGTTTCAATTTTCAAAGCAAAGTCAATTCCACAAGCGTATAAAAAACCTCAAGTAAGCTTGCTAGAAAAGTTCGAAAGAAATAGTACAAAACTTCAAGATTTTTTGACATCAACAACAGATTTAATTCACACGTATCAAACAAAATTATGTAAACTTGCTAAAAAAGTTTGACAAAAAATATACAAAACTACAAAAGAAATTAATCAAGTTCTTGGCTTGTCTTCTATCATCAATCACACAAATAGACAATAGAAAATTCAAAAGTCAAATTTATTGAAGTCAAGTTCCCTCACAAGAATTGCATTATTTTTGTTTTTGTCATTATTGAAAAAGAATTTTTGACCTCAAACAAATCTTGGAAGAATTCAGCACAAAAATGGAAAAAAGAGTTTGAACCTTTATAGTAACAACAAAACTTTCAACACTACTACTACACTACATTGCGTTCAGCTTGAAGCAATATGACTCTTATCGTCACGTTTTGATGAGAAATGTTAGAATTTATCAAAATCTTGTTTGTGAACTGGTTTAAAGTAAGTATTTTATAAGAGCCATTATTCAAACAACTGATTACAAGAACTGGCTCAAGCTACAACAAGAGCAAGGAATACTCGTAACATCATATACTACAAATTACATAGCTCTAGCATGACAAATATCTTCAAGCATTTTGACCTAAGAGTTCATGCAATTTGGCAAAGTGTAAGTTAACCAAAGAATGCAAAAAAATGGTTTCGCATTGAACACTTGTGCTTTTATCACATAGATAAGAATCACATCTCAAAGAATTGCTCTTGTGAAATCTCAAGATTAAAGTTGTAAAATTTTTATACATATCAAGCATTTTTTAGCGCAGAGACAAAAAAATATAGTTGAAACACAACAACGGCTATCCATATTATGAAGCATGAGGTCGACAAATCAAATCCTATACTATATCATGTGTAGGTCTTGGCAAAGTAAGATAAAATATCTTTTACTCTAGATTAAAAAATAAACCATTGTTGGTATCTCTCATTTTCAGAGTTTATGTTTCCATCTTCAAATGAACTTCTCTATAAACCCAAGTGTTTACACCATCTCTCTAAAAACTCTCATTGATCTATTTACTTTGTAAGTTTTCATTTATATGATTTCTCCATTAAAAACAAAAGATTTGTTTGATACTTACACTCTTGATGATAATTTTTATTTGCCTCTACTACATCAATAAAAGTTGATTTTGGTTGAACATGAAAAACTTGAACTTAAAATTGAATTTCCATCTCTCAAACTCTTTGTCTCTCTATTTTCACGCTCTCTAGTGCAAAGATTTTATCTTCCATGGTCTGCTACTTGATATAATCATCTACTATAATCATCATCATCTACTATCGCTTTGTTCAACTCTTTCATCTTCGTCATGATAGTATTGAGAACCTCATTCATATTGACAAATGTTTCAATACTTTCTTTCACCCACTATAATACAAGGTAAATATAATAACTATCTAAACTTTCAACAAAGTAGTCAAAACAGTTTTAGTTAATTTTATAAGAGTTCTCTAACACTCTTCTTCATAATTTTTCACAAGAAATTATCTCCACAATCTATCATGTTAATATATTGTTCTAATATCTACATTAATGTTGAATCAAATCTAGACGATGATTTGTTATTCAAATTCATGAAACAATTAGCATAGAATGTATATAGCATAATTTCAAGTCTCTCCATAACTAGCTATTGGAAATATCAATGACACTATTGACTTCATCACTTTTGTCATAAAATTTACAACTCAACAAGCCAGAAGGTACATCCAAAAATAATGTTTTTCCATCTAACAAACATGAATTTCAAATAGATTTGGAATGAGCAAATGAGGCATTGAATTAATATCAAACATCTCAATATCTGCAAACCCACAAATTTTTTTCCATTCTTTTTACATGTTTATCAATGACCTCTACCAGCCTATATACTCACTCAAAAAATGCACTTTATCAACACTCATTTGTTATTTCATGAGGAATAATCTACACGTAAGAAAAGTACAAAACAAACTTGAAATCATTGAAACGCTAGGATTTAGAGATAAGTTCATTCAAAAATGAAACATAAACACTAAAGATGAAATATCTTGAATAGATATTTCACTTTTATATGGAAGTCCTTATATAGATATTTCAAATACATACACAAAGATAAGGTCTTTTGCCAACCACCCAATCTCTTCCTGATGGATTGGTGACATGACAAAGCACACGGATTGATTGTGTGTCGTTTCCAACTAGCAAATTCAATATTTATCTCACAAGTACACGGATTGATGACGTGTTTTTTTAACTACCACATTCAACTAGTTCACGGATTGCTGACGTAGCATTGTGAATATATCACTATTTTCTAATTTATTCAATCTTGTGTGAACTCTACTTTAATTTTATCTATTGAATATATTTTCATCATGTCAAGACAAAAAATTAAGACTTTTTAATGTCTTGTAATTTTTTTAACTCATTGAGAAAAAATTATAAAGTGATAGTAATCTTACATGTAATTGCAATTTATAGCATATAATCAATCAAATTCCTTGCATATCTATGAAATTAAATGTTTAATCTTACTTTTATTAAGTATGGAGATATAAGTCAACCAAAATTATTTTTTAAACAATTATTATCAATCATAGATTTGTCATTCATTTCAAAATTTTTTTTAATAATCACATTGAAAAAAAAATTAATGACATGAATTGTGATATTAATTCTTTTTAGTTCACGTGAATTGCAATATTTTTTGTTCAATTTTATATGATAAAGTAGATTGATTCAACTTATTTTGTATCTTTTTCAACACTATTTTGTTGCGACTCTTAAAAACATAGTGTTATTTTAAGTTATAAAATATGATGAAATGATTAATATTTTCTTTGACATTTTACAATAACTTCTAAACTCTTCAGCTATTTGTCATACTTCATATGTAAATTTTTCATCTTGTGTTCAACATAATTATAAACTTGTACTTTTCAACTATGAAAAGTTGTAAAGATCTTGAACTTTAGTGCAAAAAAATAAATTCACTTAAATTTTGACTAATCATCAATTAGTGATACAAAATATAACTTTTCAATTATCGGAATTTTGAAAGAAGTATTTTAATGTTATAATCAATGACATCTTTGAATTTTTTAATTCTAACATCAAAAGCTTTTATATGATGCTTGTTCAGAACACAATGTTCATAAAAATCTCAGTCAACTTTATCTATGCAAGATGACAAGCTCCCATTGACAAGAAATGTTAAAACTATTACTCATGTGTCGTAATATGTCTGTATCTTGAATTTATCTCTAAATCTTAAACGCTTGCTATCTATGTTATTTTGTGTATATAGTTGACATCAAATCTATTTGAATGTTGCATTAGTTATATAGTACATTAGAGACAAAATCATCATCTATTCTTGTAACTCATGAGTCAATGAATTACTTACAACTTTATTGTAAGTGATTGTATTCTTATCACCAATGAAGAAACACATGTCATAATGATTGATTATGTAGGCATAAAATTTTTCTCATCATTAATCTATTCTTTAAGATTTAAACAATCAATGATTAGATCAACAAAGATATATTTTGATTTTGGAATTTTTTATTACATATTATTATTTTGAAGTTCATTTTTTTCAAGAATTTATACAAGATATTTGACAACTATTAATTATAGATTTGTTGCTCAAAGAGTTTCAATTTGTCTTTTCATTTGCTTCAACACAAAAAGATTGAAAATATAGTATCAAAATACACATAACATGATCATAAGATTTTTCAAGTTTTTCTACTGAATATAGAAGGTTTAGGTCTAAAATTTTTCCAAATTATTCAAGTTGTCATCATTGAAGATAAAAGGGTTGGTTCTATAATTTTTTTCTAAACATGTAGCTTTCTGTTTGATTTTTTCAAAATAATTAATCATCACATAATACATACAACATGCTTTGAAGGTTCTTGAAGTTATCGTCATTAAAGATAGAAGGCTTAAGTGTAAAATTTTACCTCGACATGTAGCTTTCAACTTGAAAATTTCAATGTGACTAATCATCAAGTAAATTGTTTTAAACTATGTAATATCAAGCTACTCCAAACTTCATAATAGCTATCTTGATTTGTCAAATCTTGGATGTAGTTTCTTGCATTGTCTTTACACTTGCTTTTTTTTTTCTACTCCTTCAGTTGAATGTTTCTTTTCTTTTAAATACTTTTATTTTATATATTTAGCAAATTAATTTAGGATAATATCTAGAAATTTATCATCATATGATCTTTTGTTTAAGTTCAACACTTACCTCGCCTTCTCCCATTATCAAATTTGTATATGTTGTAAAATACTTCAAGAATATAGACAAGTGTTTTTCTTCTTCACAAGCTTGATAATCACTTTTTTGACAATAATGCATTATAGAATGCAAGTGTTTGTACAAATATAAGTACAAACTTTGCAACAAAATCTAAGATGTGATCAAAATTAATGCGTGTTTGAGATTTGATCATTGTTCTTGTTGTTTCATAATGTATGTCCAAAAAAAATAATCAAGTTCAACAAAAGTAACAATCTTATCAAAGATCTTTTGTAGATGTTTTCAAAAGTTAGCCGTTGATGCGGGTGACTACTGTGATGGTTATCATTGATATGTGAATTGTTTTCTTGTTCTAAGATAAAAACTCATTCATTTTTTAAACTTCAAACCACATTTATACCATAAAATTTGAACATTCTTGAAAGAATATTTTTTTCATTTTCACCTAGAAGAAGCATCAATTCATCAATAAAGTTCATAAAATTCAAAATATCATATCAATTTTTAATTCCAATGCTAGATCAACTAACAAGTTTAAAAAGTTTGCAACTTTTGGTTATCATTCCATAGTTGTTTAGTATTTACTTAATTCACAAATTAATTATGCTTCATCAATATTTTTGAATGAAGATCCCAACATATAAATCACAATATCAAGAAAATAATAAGAGAGATGAAAGCAATAGTTTGAAAATCATAATTTTGTATCAATATAATTTCTTCAACAGGAATGGAGAAACTAATTGATAGAGTTGCATAGCAAAATTTTTAATATTTCTTTTAGAAAGATTCAAAATGACCTGTTTTTGGTTGTAGGTTTTTTAATTTTAAAATAACTTGTGATTTGATTTTTTTGAAATGGTTACAAAAATGAAACCAAGAAAGATTTAAAGTTGTAAATAAAAATTTGAAAAGGTATAAATTTTACTCATATTTAAGAAAAAATAAAATTCACCTGTTGGCAATATTTGCAAATTTGAAATCCTTCAAAAAATTTTCAAAAATCTGATTATTATTTTATTTAATTTCAATTTTTATATTTATGTACTTGCAACAAGCATCTTGTCGTCATCAATGAATATTTTATCATACCATTTTTTTGATTCAATGAATAAATTGCACAAGAATCATCCATATAGGTTGATGATTCATTTTAATAACATATAATCAAGATTGCACTTGCAAGCAAAGAGATATGAGATAAAACTTCAAAAAAAAATTCTATCATATGAATGAATTTGAAAAGCATATGGTAATCTAGCTTATGCATCTTTGATATTTTAAAAGTTGAATGTATGCATTACAAGAATGTTGCATATTACAACAAAGAAAATTTGTGTTGAGTTGTAGTTGATTACAATTAAAACCAAGAGTGTTTAAAATTAAAATAGAGTTAATTTACGATGTGTTTTTTTGCCGTTGTCATGTTAGCAATTTTTGTGATTAGCGTGTGAGAAAGAAGTGTAATAATTGATGACAATATGTTAGCATTTTGTTTGCTTGTTAGATTAAAATCAAGATAATATTCATGAAGAGTCACAAATAGCTTTGTATGTTTTATAGTGGATAAATCCAATAAGAAAATATGAATCAAGTGTTATACTGAAGTACTATTATTTTCATTTTGGAATATTGGTGGCAATATTGGAATTTTATAGGGATATATGCGAGCAGGACTATGTGGTAAAATTAAATTAAACTGCAATGGTGCTAGATCTTACAGCACCTTGGAGTCCTTGGTATTTTAAAAATAAATGTTAGTAAATAATCACAAATAACATTGTATTTTTTTATTACTGGATAAAACCAATCAAAAAATTAGAATCGAGCGTAACAATGGATCCTATCATTTGAAATTTGACGGTTCAGATAGGAGAAATAATTTGTGGTAATAAATGATTTCAATCAATACATCGTTAGGAATACTAAATATAGAGATAGGAGGAATAATTGGTAGCAATACGTGATTACAATAAATATATTAAACGGCGATGGTGTCAGATCGAACATAACTTTGGAGTCGTTGGGATTTTGCAGATGTTTCCTGATTTCCTGATTGTTCGACCTTACAGTACTATGGTGGCCGGCGCTGCTTTGCACCTATCAGGTGGAAGGGTATCCATGTCGTACAGTTTGTCCATTTGTCTCTTCAACGGATGGAGCATGATGCGAAGGATCTCTGAATCACCAAGTCACTTTGTGTTGGTCCCTTCCATAACGCGTTAACAATATAACTCAGTTTCTCATCACCTCATACGACCGAAGTACAGTGAGATGTTCAAAAGGTATCACTCAGGTTACCGGAGGTTCATAAGGCTTGGGAATTCCCATATCTAAAGAAAGTAATTTAAATTATGGATTCAATTCGTCGTAATTGTGGGATTTATCAATAAATAGAGTACATAAGTACGTTATTACTCGCCACTAACTAACTTTCTAGCATGTAACTCTCGAATATTTATGAGAGAATGATTTCTGTACGAAGACGAATAATGACAAAGGCAACGTGACATAATCTTACTTGTGACAAAATCAAAGATGTAATCATGTCGTTCTTAATTTTGGTTAATATTGGGATTTTGTTAACAAATCCCAGCATTTAGTGGGCTTAGGTTACTGCACTACGGTAGAATTGGATGACAATTTCTGAACAAGTGAAGAACAATGAGAGTGGTTCGAAATGCAATAAAAGTGATACATCAAACACTCATATATAAAGTCTATGATGTCAATCAAGAATTATCACCAAGGTGGCCTTCTATCCCCTTTTAAAATATGTGTAATAAGTGCAAATCAGCGTAATCTATACTAGACCAAATTTACGCAAAGGAACCTAATTGCAAGTGATGATTGTTTAATGTACGCTGAGAAATGAATGTTCTCCACATGCAAATGGAAAGAAGAATCCTCCTATTTAAGAAAACTTACCGTGATCAGAAATCGCAGAACCAACAGGAAAGGAATGGCAACTCCAGCAACACGAACAGGGGAGAAAGCCGAAACACAATGCGACCGGTGTCTGAGAAGCTTTTATATATATATTGTACGCGCAAACCGTGCCAAGTTGTGTCTTTGGAACAAGACTCGAAGACAAGTACAATTTTAGCCTTGTTCCAAAGTTGAAGAAAGAAAGAGTGGAGAGGTTAAGAGCGCATCTGAAAGAGAGAGGGAGGGGAGAGAAGGGGTATGCAGTCACTATGTCATTTCCGTTCTACAGCTTTGGCTGAGAGTAGGTGTTAGCCACTGCAAATTAAACGGCGGCGCACCCACGGTACAGTACTGCAGCAGAAGAAAGAATCCATGGTAGCACAAGTTCGTGGTAAAATTAGAAAGTAGAATAAGGAAAAAGGATGGGGCGTTCGTGGTCAGATTCAATAGAGAGAGAGAGAGGCGCAGTGGACGGAAGGGATTAGAGAAGTCTGAATGCGCCTCTCACGATCTCCTCCTTCCGGGAAGGAGAGGCTCACGATAAGGAGGGCGGACTTGTGAAACCCGTCATGCACGAAGAGGAGTCCTGACAGAGGAGTCGAGAACTCGAGAGTGAACATGTTCTGTCAGAATTCGCACTAAACAGGAATGGCCTCGTACGGAGGAGGAGGCTGACTTACGCTGCACGATTGGGAGTCCACTGTCCTATACAAGAGCACGTGGAGGTGTTGGACAGCAATCGTAAAGAGAGTGTGTGTGTGGTCACTGGTGGCATAACGAGCGAGCGAGGGGGAGAGATCTGATGGGGCAGCGAGCGAGGGACGGTAGGGTGGGGACGATGGAGAAATAGCTCGGCCCGCCGCTGGCGTCAGGAGGAGGAGGGTTCAGTTGTTTGCTTGCTCGATCGCGGTGATCGAAGGCCGCCTCCGAGTTCTTCGTGCCCTAAGTGCTGAATTGCAGAAATCTACGATTTTCGAGAGGTGGGCAATCTGATCTCTCTGTTTCCCTTTACGAAACAGAAGCGGAGAGCCTCGTATGTACGAGGAAGGATCGGTGTTCGGAACCACCTGTGTCGGATTCACCTGTCAGCGGGGCTAGCTGTCTCGCAGAGGGATGCAATTCTTCCTCCCTCTGGACGGTGCACGCGAGATGAATCAGAGCGGACGAGTTGCGTCGAGGAGGCTCATCGGGGCACATGTCGTCTACAGGTCTGGAGTCAATTGATTGCAGGTGCAGGAGAAGATGCTCTGGACTTCAGCTATAATCAGCCCGGTGGAGCTAGTCTGCCCTCTTTGATCTGACCATTTTAGTCTGAGAGCCACTCGTGTGCAGACCATGCTCCAATACATCAGAACAGTTTAGCTTCGGGGACCCAATTCTATTCGACTCTCGATCTCAAAGCGTGGATGTTGCGGAAATATTTTCGAATGATCGATCACCTTTCTGAAGCCGTGCTAGAGTTTCAGGTGTGTCATTTATTTGGCGACGAGAAAGGAGGCCCTTGCCCAATTGTGCCTTTCGCTTTTAGAGTGACTCGGTCCATCTTGTTGCAATTTTTCCGTGAGCGAAGTACTCAAGTAGCTCAGAATCCGAGATTTTATTCCAGCGTCTCATAGTGGACGCCGTCATGTTCGTATCAGATAGTCAACACATGATGACTCACTTGCACTGGCATTCGAATCTAATTCAACCTGTTGTTCTGAAGGTGAATTTCTAATGAAGAGACGGAGAGAAAAGACGCCCAAAGCTGCTGCATCGGGTTCCAAAACCACCAGAGGTGAGCTAGTTAGTTCTCCTTCTGCATACGACTCCACACTGTCGCGCCTCGGAGTAATGCCGGTCGACGGCAGCCGAGCTACAGCTAGCGGAGTCAAGGGATCAAAAGGCAAGTCCGATGGAAGACAGAAAGAAAAGTCGGGCTTATCTCGCCTGGCTGATCTGTCCATTAATGAAAGTTCACCTCAGGATAAACCGCAAATGATGGACTTCGAGGATAATATTCCGGATGAGATTATGGTGCAAATATTTAAGCATGTATTTCGGCCGGGAATTGCGTGGGAGTCGGCCAAAGTTTGCAAGCGTTGGCACGTACTTCAAGCAATCAATTTATTGCAGAAGCGGGGCAGTGGCAGTATTAGGTGCATGGGCTTGAAGAAAGGCGATCGTTCAGGAAGGAAAAATCATTGTGACGGTCGGGCCAAGACTCTGAAATTGAAGAGAGTGGAATCGGAGTGGCGTCTATCTATGCATCTCTTACAGAGCTGCAAACGACACATCCATAACTTGGAGATCAAGAATTGCACGCATGTCTCGGAGCGAGGATATCAGCTGATTTCAGCTTTTGCATCAAATTTGAAGTCGATTCGACTGGAATTTTGCAATTCCTTGGACGATGCCAGCTTTGACTCTATTCTAGACAAATGTCCAACCCTGCGATCCATTCATTTGACGGCAGTTAATGTTACCTTGGTAAATGTAGTCGCAAAGGCTCCCAAGCTTCAAGACCTGCACGTCCATGGGTGCCGGAAAGTGACAGCAAAGACTTTGCTTACTATTCTGCATGGCTTGAGTAACTTGAGGTCTCTTAGTTTGACTGCGATGGGAGACCCTCAGCAAGACTTGGATGTGACTAAATTCGAATCAGGACCACCTTTGAAGCTTCAACATCTGCACTTGGAAAATTCTCATGCAATTACTGATCATCTTCTTCAACTACTGGCTCCTCGACTTGTAAATTTGAGGAAGTTGGATCTGACCCTGTGCACATCGATTACTGATGATGGGTTGCAGGCAGTACTCTTGTCATGTGGCGCATCACTAACTCAGATTGTGATGTCTCGGTGTAGACGAATTACTGATAAAAGCATTTTCACGTTGGCTGAGACTGCTTACAAACTGCATGATGTGTCTTTGGCAGGCTGTAGTATTAGTGATGTTGGGTTAAAGGTATTGATGGGTGCTAAGTTCATTCGAAACCTGAGGAACTTGAGTTTGGCCTGCTGCAGTAAGGTAACTGACGTAGGTTTATCGTACTTCGCTTCTCAGGCAGACCAGTTGGCATGTTTTAAAACCCTTGATTTGCAGAGTTGCTCTGGAATATCAGCGTTTGGATTGAAGGGCCTTCCAGAGAAGCTTCATGGTAAAAGCTACAAAGTCCTTTCTGAAAAGAAAAATGTCACCATCTCAGGATGACACTACCATCTGTGTTGGCATAGAGGATGTAGCACATGCACCTGTCAATTTGTTCATATAACTCTTTACCTAGGTAAAGTGAATTAGTTGACACTGTCAACTGGTCACTCAATTTTGGTGATGTCTTTATCGAAGACATTGCGAAATTCTGAAGTGTAGGTGAACCCGTTTTTCCCCACTTTTCCACTTTCGATTCCATTTTGACACAGGACCATGAATGTGAATTAAGTCTGGTCCTCAGCTTTGTAAAATTAGAATTGTAGTGCATCCTCAGAGCTCAAGGTGTACCTCCTACATATCATACTTTTACAAATGAGAATTGAAGATGCAGGGGAGATTTGGAGGCTGGATACATATGCTTCTCTCCAAGGGCATACACTCGATAGGGGGTTTCAGAATTTAGACCAAACGCTACAAGCCCTGGTAGCTCTGTAATGGTGTCATTTGTTGGAAAAATCAAAATGTGGAAACGAAAACAGGTGGAATAGTCATCCCCATTTTTATTGTCGCGTTCACGTCCGAAGTGTCTTATTTGGAATTCGAATGAAAGATGCACGTCTGTGATTCTCGATGATCTTCGTTCATATCTCGAAGTTGGAAGATCCCATGGCGATCAGACATGAACATAGTAATGTACTGTGCTTCTGTCTCACAGACAATTAGTACTCGAACTGAGAGACTAAGTGCGTGACAAAAGTAGATGTGATCAACTCGGTCTCTCTTCATATAGTGTGTTGCTATGTAGAGATATATTCCATACGAGAATATGTTACCGGTAGGTAGTAAACATAACTTTAAATCTAACAGTGAAGAACGCGCACGTAAGACTCTTCCATATCTGGTACACATAACTCGGCAGTTTGTGTTCAAATATACTATATTCGTTTGAATTCAAATTTCATGTAGACTGATTTTCAACTTTTGAATTACTTGGATTGTAACATGCCATCAAATCATGATATTTAACACGAGTTTTATGTGAAAGATCATATTTGTCACAATGTGTGATATATAATTTTCGACTTGTAAAAGCTTGCAAACGTAGAATTTAAATTAGTCTTAATTTTTTTAAGGAAAATTTTCACACTGTTTACATGGAGATTTTGCCCTATAATGAGCTGCACGTAAGATGAGTAAAACGAAGATAGTTGCTATGTATCAAAGGTACCAAACATACTTTCTAACCCGACAGCTTCATCTGTACATTTTCAGTAAACATTTAATATAACTTACATCATGTACACACTTCCATCAGTCTTTTAATGTAAACATTTCCGCGGAAAAAATTCAAGACAAGACCTACTGGGGAGGGCACCGTCACTTTGATGAGGGCTCTTTCAAAAACCTCTTTCCACTGTTGGACTCAGACAGATGTGGTGGGGAACCTGCCGTGGTCGGTGTAAAGTACGGCATGGTTAAAGAACATGAGTACAAACTGGGTCAGATTGCCTTCATGTGGATGCTTGGTGATGTAATTACGCGTGAGCTCAAGGATTACAACAATGCAAACCCCATAACTATATCCGATACCCAGAAGTGAAAAATTTATATTTTCTTGTGGTGCGGATGCGAAACCCACAGGTCTTGCGGAAAATCTTATGCTTTAAATCAGAACTCACGAACACTTGGGCGAGCAGACTCTCCAACATCGCAATTATAAGACCACAGATTTAATCAGGAACGTAATAGCCTCATCATGAAAGTTCACACAGCGATGATACGACACCACTCCACAGCTGTGGTCCAAATAGAAGCCTATACGACGAAGTCATTTCCAACTGCAAACATTCTATGCACGATAGTGCCGCGACATCGACCGAAGCGTTCTTCTCACACTCGGCTTATCTCCCAACAATGTCAACGCAACAATATGACGGCGATAATTTAGAGTAGTTCTCTTTGCTGCTCTGTCAGACAAAACTCAACTTTCCTAGAGGAAGAAGATGGCTCTAAATTACAAAGTAATCGCGGATGCACCCAATGCGGGCGTTCTCTCTGTGATTCATAACTTCCCTGATATTACAATCTCTTGGTTCTAAAGTCTACAAAATTGTTACGGTAATTACACGCCGCGACTCATGAGGGAGCTGTAACATACCCTGTAAGTAACTCTCACTCGAGTGAGCTCGACAGCTTTCTATTTCAAGAACCCCTTGTTTCTCCACTCTCTTAAACACACCGTTCTGCATGAGTAGCAAAAACATCATACTATGCTCGTGAAGACTCCTTCTCCTGCTCCTCTTCGTATTCGATCTGGCGTCAACACACAAAACAACCATTCAGCGCACTGTCGTCTAGCAAAACACTATTTGGCAAAGGCAGACTAAAAAGTCTCTCGCCTCAACTTCGTTCGATAATCCACATAGTAGATCAATCAGCAAAACGTGGGCTCCAAACTAATTCCGGCCAGGAGTGCATCTGTAGGTGAGATGTGCCACACCAAAGACGGGCCACACCAAAGGTAGAGAGAGAACACAATGACTGACTTTGACTACATATGATTCACGTCAATGCTATACAGAGTATTTACTACCGCAAATCGATCCTAATGGATCTGTCAGGAGCAAAATCTAGATGGTAAAAGTGCAATTCAAAAATCCTCAACGAAATATGAACAAAAATACGTTATACTATCTTGTGCCTGACACTTTTGACAGAAAAGACCAGAGGGTTTAGGGGATCCAACGTAACCTACAGATCAGAACGAACATGTACATATGATATGACACCGTGTACGGCACACAAGGGTTTATGCCAAAGTGTTAGGCTGCTGCTAAACCCTAGCACCTAAAACCCCTTATACGGCCTTGAGTTTAGCAGCTGCAAATGCACTGCATCAATAACGCAGACTAGAAGGCAGAGAGTAAAAACAGGTTAAGGATACCACAAAGCATAAGAACGGACACCATGGGAGTATTCTGTGTACTGATGGACCCAATAAGTGTACATCCTTCTTCCACACCACCAAGAACTAAGAATCACCACGAACTACTACGGCAGATAGATTACGCCTTACAGAAGCAGTGCTTCATCAGTGGGGCCCAGATGGGTGAAAATAAAGTAGGGCTAGAGAGTCAGTACGCCTTGCCACGAGTTCTGAATCATTTTAGACTGGAGAGATTGATACTTGTTTGATAAACGGAGATCGGTCATCTGATGTTTAGAGCACATGACCCTGACTAAAGCGATTTATCTTTGAACCCCATCATAGCTACTTGGATGTGTCTTCAATACCTCGCGCAACAACGGACTCGGATAATGCCTTGCAAGATTTTTCCCCGACTGTACCATCACTCACATGATGGCTGAGGTAATTGGAACTTTAACACTAGACTATCAATAGGCAGGATCGAACACGTTACCTCCACATGACCACGTCTTTTCCTTCTACTCGCGACATCTGATTTCACACCTGCGGCATCAGCGTCTCTTTTCGTAGGCAAGCCAGCTTTTCTTGCCTGAACTCTCCTGGTTGGAATTTCTGTTGATGACAAGCACGTGAGGTTAGTACAAGAATTCCAGCTGAGCAAAAGAAGATCTTTAGCATGCAACAGAAGATAATCTCACAAGAAGCTGAGGAAGAATAAATACCTTCATCTTCTGAATCTGATTCACTACTTTCTGTAAGGCGGTCTTTCATGCCATTGGCAAACTCTTCCATTTCATCCTCTTCGTCCTCCATTTCGTAGCCCTCTACGTACTCTACCTCGGGCTCTTCCTCCTGGAGAATTGGCAAAACATTGACTTAGAAGACTTACGCATCAGTAGGATAAGCTCTAACAACATTGAATACTATCAATGAGAGGGAATACAACTAAAATAATCCTATGAATGCACCAAGTCGTTATCACATTAATTACAGACGCTACGCAGACATTTGAACTAGACTACCAAAAATAGTTATAGATAAACTATGTACCTCTTCCTCTTCCTCTTCTTCCTCCTCCTCTTCATCGTCAGCCGTCATCGACTCCATATCCAGGACCTTTTCGTACTCTTTCATTGGAAAGTTGTAAATATCCCCATATGTACCGCTCTGTAAACGCTGGAGCAATTCCTTCTCTATAGACTGCAGTTTCAAAACACATTGAATTAAGAACCAAAAGATATTTGCATCCCGAAGGTGAAGTCATCAGACTGTGACATGTCCTTCCTAGTAATTTACAGCTTGAAGTCCTTTGACATAATTCCACAAGCTTTGATCACAGCGTAAGGCACCTTCCCGCAGTCTCAGAAGCAAAGATGTAGCCAATGGACAGCAATTTCTACTTTCGCCTATTACAGAATGATGTTGGACGACATCATCAGGCATGCCAGTATACCTATCTTCTGAACCAATGTCAATGTGGAACATACCCGATCAAGAACAGCGGCAACTTCAGCTTTTGCTTCCCTCCGAGCTTCTCTTTGCACCTGCTTGGCCGGCATGGTCATAATTTTGGGCCTGAACAGTCGTTCATTATTTATTTAATCAAAATTCGATCACTGCACGTGGAATTATCGTCTTTTTATGAGACAAATTTAAGACAAGAAATTAGAAGGCAGAAGAGAAGGACTCACTTGACTTTAAGCGCGAGCTTCCGCATTCGAATTAGGTACTGAGTCATTTTCGTCAACCGCTGCTTGTTCTTGTGGACAAGAAACTTAGGCCAAAATTCCTGGACATCAATGCCACATGCAGCTAAGACACAGCGATGATTCAAAGCTATGACATGAATTGCCCAATACAGGAAAAATGCGTAGTACCATCCATACTGACAAACTCTTCAGTAGAAACGATAAGGGAACTGGAATCTCGAATCTGCTTACAAGATGCTTGTCCACAATTTCGAGAGCTTTGGCGTAGTTTCTTGGTAACTTCACCCTCTCCCATAAATCTTTTGGTGAATGGGCTCTTTCAATACTTTTCATATAGAGATAAAGTAAACCTGCGATGGATTCTCAATACGTCTCAGTGACTAAAAAACCCCAGCCTACTCTTGTCTCTGTTCCCATCAATCACGAAGACGTCCCCAGCGGTGGCGCTTAGTAAATAGATCGGATCTAGCAAACTGAATCTACAATCCTACGAGAAAACGAATACAATTCAATTCTACAATCCCTTGAAAGAAACTTCCAATCTCTGCTATCGGACTACGTACCATCGATCTCCTTAATTGTCGCATAACGACTGTTAGCTAAAGGGCAGGAACTACGGTTACAAAGTCCAGTAACATTGTACTCATTCCTGCAAAAATTCTGTGTCACAGTCCTGCGAGTCACACGTGGCTGAGAATCAGTAACAAGAGGAGCTTCGACCTCGACTTGAAACGAACGAGCCACCCATGGCAACAGCGGAGTCCCATCCACACTCCACTCGCTGACCGCTTACGACGACCAGAACTCCCTCATGAAATATAAAAAGGCTTCGAAGTCCGAGCGCACTCACTTTGCTCTAAAGCTGCAATGCTGGTGACCTATGACCTGCCAAATAATCTCGTCGTGCTGCATGGTGCAAGCTCACTCGCTCGCAAAGCAACGACACGATGCAGGTCTTCCTGTCGAACGACGATGAACGATTCCTTCCTCCTCCGATGTGCAGGCTGCACTGCGACGATGGAAGACGATCTATCACTGCCCAACCTCCCTCACCCTCCCTCGTTATGCAACACCTCTACCCCCCTCGTCCTCCCCTTCAGCAACCCGACACGAAATCCGAGCGAACCGGCAAGCGTGAGTCAAGGCAGAGATTTGAGATCTCTGCGTGGTGACATGAATTCTGTCTGGTCCTCGCTCCCATTCTCGCTGCGTTTCGCCCTAAACCCTCCCCCGTTCCCGTTCGAGTTTGAGGTTTAGGGTTTGACTTCAACTGCAATTAAGTGAACTTCCGTAGCCCGGGGTACGAAAAGCGTCCGTCGTCCGTCGACCTCGGACGCCTCGGGCTCTTCCTCGGGCCCGGGCACGAGTGTCCTAAGGGACCTGCGATCTGTGCACTCGACCATGTGGCAACCGGGAAACCGGGACTTGCACATTCCCGGACCTCCAGGGTCGGACAATTGCAAGGACCGAAGGGCAGCGGAGGGCGACGAAGATGAAATATATAAGATCGAAAATATCAGAACCTCTGAGTCCGAAGGGAATATTCTCCGTGCGAGATTCCCCATGCATGCACAGATCGATGATTGATTATGGACTTCGGAGTCGGTGCCTTGGACGTGAATCTTGTTCAGCAGCTCTGCCCGACAATCCTGCTGCAGGAAGGAGTCAGGCGATCGGAGATTGTGTGAGGTGGGAGGGACATAATTTCCCATTCGTCCGGTGAAGTATCTGTTTCCTGGTGGTGGCGGTGGTGCTGCTGCTGTGTAGACTCTGTGGTGGGTCGCCATGGAGGCAGATGGTAGGGATCCAAGCATGCGATGCAATGCGGGATCTCCGATCTCCCGTCAGTGCCTGAATTCGGATGCGATTTCCAGAAAAGAGAGAGAGAGAGAGAGAGTGTGTGTGTTTGTGTTTGGTTGAAGATATGATTGATGATGTGTTAGACCGGATGAATGGCATGAGCAGGAAAGCAAGCTCCTCTCCTGACAGATGCTGCGGGACTCATCAACGACGTGGACACTTTTTTGTTCGACGTAGATGGTAATTGGACTCTTACCTCTGTCTCTGTGTCTTGCGTGCTCATCCGCCCATGCTCTGTGTGTGAGTGGACTCAACATTTCACAGCAAGAAATGTTGAGTTCACCCCATCGATGAACGCGGTTGGTTTGCGAAACATGATCGATGAGTTCATGTATTCGTACCGACGTGCGGAGAAGCGATGGACCTCCTTTACAAGAAGAGTACATAGAAGGCTTTTTCATACGGAAAACTTGCACCAAATCAAGATAAACCACATCACAGAAAAAGTTCCTTAAATAAGGTGTTCATACATCTGCCAACTTGGCACAGGTGTCATTTGGAGAGGAGGGAAGGTCATAGAAGGCGTTGCAGAAACTTTGGACATGCTGCGGGATATGGTTAGTATTGAGTCCATGATTACTTTTTTAGCAGGCTTTGAAGGCACGTCAAGCAACTTTGTATCCTACATTGTTTCGTGACAAAAGTATCTGCTAATTCCTACTGCCCCAAACCTGTGTAATATGATGCATGGTTTTGACTTCAAATTCAAGGTAACGCAGGTGCGGTTTAATCCACTTATGCCGTGATGCTGTGTGGAGCAGGGCAAGAAGTTGTTATTTGTAACTAATAATTCAACGAGGTCAAGAAAGATGTTCCAAGAGAAGTTTCGATCTCTGGGCCTCGCTATTAGCGAGGTACTACCAACCACCATTCCTCTACTCTCCACCAGTCAACGCTGTACGGTTGTAGCATGGAATTACTTTCTGGTTCTGGTATCCTCTCAGAAAGCACTAAGCACTACACCCGATATTTTGACTAAATTGTGGACTGCTTTCACGCAGGAAGAGGTTTTCTCTTCTTCCTTTGCTGCCGCTGGTTACTTGCAATCAATAGGATTTCCTGCAGATAAGAAGGTCAGTATGAACTATTTGTTCCTTGTCATATCGGTCTCAGTTGTAGCGGTTTGTTGATGAATTTGAAATTTGATGTACACGCTGTCATCCGTGTATATGTTCCCATGAGTTCGGCTCTTCCTGACTGTAGGCTATCGATTTGGTAAATTTGAAACAATAACAGGTGTATGTGGTGGGCGAGGAAGGAATCCAACAGGAGCTTGAGCAAGCTGGTATACAGTACCTTGGGGGTCCTGTAATTGTCCTCCCCTGAACTTGTTGGTTGCTTCTGGAATGTGGTTTGTGCTTAGTCATTCAAGTAAATGTGGGATCTGCTTCTCTTGCATGGATGCTCAATAAGAATGTAGTCACGGTTAATCACGAAACCAATGGGCCTTTTCGGCCCTGTCCGTATGCTTAAAGGGCATGAAAGTTTACACAGCTGCATGTAATGTAGGTTATGTATGATGTTCTTGCAGGAGTTTGTCCTTCGCGATCAAGGCCAGCTGCAACTTCCTCTCGCTGTGATGGTTAGGTAGTAATATAAGTTGATTTGAGTACAGGAGGATGGCGAGAAGAAGGTTGAAATGGGATCAGTCAAAAATTTGGAGATCGACCCCAATGTAATTACCTGAATCCTATTGCATGCGATGATCATCTTTTTTGTGGAGTTCATTTGATAGATACTGTAAATGTTGGAATGAGATTCGTTTTTTGCATGTAGCAGTTTTTACTTTTGTGAAGAACAATAGTTAGTTAATAACTGTTACCATTCGTAGATACTAATTCAACCATCTTAAAGATTGGACTTTTGAGTTAGCTACTAAGTTACATCTAGAAACTCTTCCTTAAACTGTCGTCAAGAATATTTAAAACATGTACTGCCGTAAATCAGAAGTTGGTAGCCGATGGCCCTATGTGCGTTTGGAGTCAGCACTTTCGAGTAAACGACAAAGTTGCATATTATATATACTCATTTGTACTTACTTAGCTTCACACCTGGTTGAAATCATATGTTTCCACCGTTTGTAGGCTTATGCCTTGACTGTCCAGCTTCTCCCTCAATATCAAAATTTGCGATCTGACTTCATCCCTGGCATGAATCCGAGAGCAGGTTGGTGCTGTCGTTGTTGGTTTCGACCATCACATCAACTACTACAAGATGACGTAAGTGTTCAAATAGTGAGACCCGTGCTTACTAGAATATGTCTATAAGCTGTTCCTGCCCATTCTGCCCATCAGTTCAGAGCAGACTTTTCTGTAGAAAATTGTTTGGACTCTCGTGAAGTGTGATCAAACTCGGAGGAGAAACGATCTGCGTCTCCTTCTCTAATCCGGATTGGGTCTGTTTCAAGAGATCTTCCCTTGCAAGTAATCTTGTATAACCATAGTTTCCTTTTGCGACTCTTCTACCGTGATATCACTGCACATGCCAACTCGTGTGATCTCGAAACTTTCGAGACGGTGGAAATCAAACCTCTTGACGCTATGCTGCCGTTGTAACTGAAACTTCCTGTGCCTACTTGTCCATCGCAGATATGCAACATTATGCATACGAACAAATCCCGGTTGTATTTTTATTGCTACAAATTGCGACAGTGTGGCTCATTTCACAGATAAACAAGAATGGCCTGCTGGAGGGACTATGGTTGGCTCAATTCGAGTTTCTTCTGAAACAGAGCCGATAGTTGTGGGCAAGCCCTCAACATTCATGATGGATTATCTCGCAAATAAGTAAATGACTTCTGCCTTTTTAAATTCTTTTGTGTTTTGATTTTTGTAAGAAAAGCTAATTAATGTGAACTAGAAGATGATGGTTGTGAAACTTTAGTAGAACCAGATGCACACGTTTACTCTACTCTGAACCTAGTAGTCATCACAAGAATACGCAGGGTTCTACACTTAACTCGAATGCACAGCAGGAGTACTGGACCAATACCACACTCGACTTGCATATCTTGATCAGAACCTTGTACAGACTGTTAAAAAGGGTCTTTATTGGTATTGTTTAGCATGTCTGGAGTCATGCCTGTTGTAGGACATGTAGGACAACGCGTAAGTCTACTTAAGGTTTCTCTTCTTCTACCTCTGTAAAGCTTCTACAAGTGGTAATGTGATTGGCACATGGAACGTGTACAGAGCGTCTCGTAAGATCAAGACGTCCAATATACTCACGAATGAGTTAAAGCTAACCTCACACAATAACCAACTGAACTCGAGCAATAGCTACTGGGCTGGGCTTGCTGAAAATCACCGGAACAATTCTAGGTTCGAATTGTATCTAGCTTCAGCTGAATGGGTCGATTCTAGTCGTGGTGGCTTTGAGATTCGGGCATTGTTCTAGTCCACATCCTGCGTTTCTATTATTTTGCTCATATATATGCAGTCCTGTTCACCATAATTTTAACGTGAAGACTCTTCATCGATACGAAGTGCATTTTGTGGGTCCCTCCTGACACTCAGCTGTTAATTGATGACAGGTTTAAAATCAGCAAGTCGAAAATGTGTATGGTGGGAGATAGACTCGACACAGATATTCTCTTCGGTCAGGCTGGGGGATGCAAGACCTTGCTGGTTTTATCAGGTGCATTAAACTAAACAGCCAACTTGTCAAAGCTTGTATATTGCTTCCCTTCCTCTCCATGCATTATAACTGCACCGTTTGTAGATCTAGATCATTGGATACATTAGCTCAACTTTCAGATCGATCAGTCTATTTTGACATCGTATAGAAGGTAACTGCCTGAACAGATTCTTCTCATTAAACTGGTTCGTTTGTCTGTAAACTCTTATGGGTTATTTTGGTTTACTTCTGCAGGTGTAACAGATCTAAAATCCCTACACAGTCCGAAAAACACCATTCATCCCGATTTTTATACAAATGAGCTACCTGACCTCCTAGCTGCGAAACGAGGGGCGGCTGCATAGATAGATGTACCCCCATTTGAGTCTCTGAAAACTTGACCTGGAAGACGTGCCGTTTTACGTACATACTAAGTGGATTTTTCCATTTCGGCACGTTTTGGATCCGAAGAGAGACCTTATCTTAGAACCAAGATACCATCAAATCTTCCTTGGCAACTGTACGTGATGTAACTCTTCGCACAATAATATCGATAATAGGTATACATGCAAGTACATGGCCATCTACCTTCTGGGTTCTTTGTTGCTTGTGTCAGTGTAACAGATTCAGATGCAGTCCCAATCAAGTGCCATCCTCCCGTCGGGCATTCAGGTTAATGAGTGGAGATTAAATCACTTCGAATGTATCATTAGGCTTTATCATAAAATTCGAAGCTCCTAGGCATGGACCAGATTGGATTTAGTACCGTCGTCTTATTCAAAGATTATGTTATTTCAGACTTCTGGCCAGTTGCAGTCCCCACCCACGTCGAAACATCAAGCCTTGGATGTTATGGGGCGGCCGTAGTGAGTTCGGATTTTACCTCCTTTCCCTTGCCAGAGCGTATAGCTGACCATATAGCACTCGAAAATTTTCTTCAGGCCTTGCACATCTTCTGTCCTAATATGGCTAAGAATACTAAAAACAAAAAGAAGATGATGGCAGTCCGAATCGAGTTTGACATTTCGGTTAATTCTCGCCATCGTCGTTGAGCATCATGGTTGCTAAAAGCATGGTTCAAGGGATCTAATGCTAACATACAGAGCAAAAGAGTAAAGTTGGAACTGAAACCATACACTCGACCATATGACGTAGTCACCACCAACTGTCTTCTCTCACCCGGTGCTTTATCTTCTCGCTGAGGTCGACCGAGAGCATGCTCAAAGACCAGCTTATTTCTCACGTCCGTTGGATTTAAACTCGTCTGATCGGCTCATTTGCGGCTGCGCTTCGAGTGATCTATACTTGCCGTTAGTGAGTTTGTGTCCCCCCTCTATCATTCACTCTACTCTGAATTTTCAACTTCTTCCTTGATACGGCCAGATTCTACATCTCCGCACCTATCACCGCCATTCGCTTTTTAACCCTCTCTTTGCTTCAGAGTTTTGTCTCACAATCTCCTGCGTTTCCCATTTCTCAGACTTTATAGGCAGTATATTTCAATCATCCGCCAGTTACCTGCTCTTCAACAAGAAGTGCCATGTTTCATGAAGAGCATACTTTGCAGCCTCACGGGCTTTGTCTGAAGATTGGTGCTTCTCAAAGAAATGTTTGGCTACTGCCAAGCATTGCTTTGAGAAGCACCTCTGCTTTTTCCCAACTATCTGGTGAGACTTTTATCTGGCGTCAGCTCTGAGCTACACTACGCATCCCTGTAACTTTTCTTCGCCCAATTACCAGCATCCGCTTCGCCTCGCTTCCCTTTCGAGTGCTCCTGGCAATTGTCGAATTTTTTTCACGGAGTTTTTTAGTCAATGCTTCGCTTCTTGAAGGGAGAAGATTGCAGTGCTGTTACAAGTCCATATCTGGACGAAATTCAGAAATATAGGAAGAGAGGAAATTATAAAGTAGCACAGCTGCGTAACACACTACAAGAAAGACAAGATTTCCTTGCCATAAATTGTATTAGGTGCGAGGTATTGAACTTTGCTGTACAAATATCTCTCATATCACAAAGAATTGATATAATTCGTGCGACAGACCCCGGTCTGTTTGGGACCAAATTTCTACTTGTAAGTCTAGCCTCTAGTGCTGAGTAGAGTATTAGCGTTTTGTACCACAGCACTCCTCTTCACAGGGTGAGTATCCCACCGGTCATTGACTCCCAAAGGCTGTCGATTTCAACGAGTACGCTTTAAAGTATTATACAATCCTGTTGTTGGGGTCAACACTGGCCAATACGAGCTTGATTGAGCCAGCCTTCCATCGAAAAAATTAGCTCTGCTGGACGTATCTGCAAGATTGGGCATATAGGTTTGGTGGGTACGGGGGTCCTTCAATTTTCAACTGTCCAGAATAATGTGAATTAGAAACTTGGCCATGCTCTGCGTTGCCGTCCTGCTCGCTTTTGCTTCTGGGTGGAATTCGACATCGAGAAGATTTGGCCATTGATGGAGAGACGTCGTGCAACCATCCATCCTCAAGAATAACAAACCTGCGTTTGGGACCGCAAATATCTATTCCTTGTAATCCGTACTTTCTGCTTCAAGCAATCGAGTCATCGTGATTTTGCCTACCCCCGCAGTGTCCAGATCATTGAACTGGTTGACGATGTCGACAATGTCTCTGTCGTTGATCTTCTTCATAGCCTTCAGCTTGTAAACCACGTACTCGGCGACACTGCATTATCAGATATCAACAGATCTGGTAAATTATTATGATCCACACGACCACTCACATATCCAAAACACCAACGACGTCTGATCTCAAGAATCAAGAGGCAGCATCTGGTATCGCATCTCGTGACCGCCCTCTGGATATCTTGGATTCTCAAATTCGATCGAACTTGGTCCACGAGAATCCTGATCGATTTCGGAAACCACTAGAACCGAGCCCCAGACTTTATAATCGACGTAGAAAGACGAAAACGGAACTCCCAGTGCCAGCGTTCACAGTTAACATCCCAACACAAGCAACTAGAAAGGTGTGAAGAAGGCCATTGCAGTCAGACTTGCGCACCGTCGAAAATTGCCATGACCCGTGTAACCATACGGATGCTGTGCAAATTCGGATATGGCTACCTTGACGTGGGACTGATTGATTGAGCTCGTGTAATCAGGAGTGAGATCGTCAACTAAATCATGGGTTCCAGTCCCATTTCATCCGTAGGGCACGACGTCACAGGGCACAAGGCACAGATAACTCTTGAGAGAACTCCAGAAGGACTAGAATGCTGACCTGACATGTCCATCGTTGTCAATGTCTGCGGCAATGACATCGTAAGGCGACATCTTCGTCCGCAGCATTTTTCTGGCGAAATGGCGGTGCCTCCTCTGCACCCTTGCCTCGGCCAGAAAGAGAAAGGCTCGCGCCACTCCCAACGTGCTCAGCAGAAGCCAAACAGCCGCAAACAGTCTTCCCCACATCGTTTGAAACGAGAAATCCCCATAGCCCACAGTCGTGATTGATATACAAGTGACGTAGACCGAGTCGATCCAGGACATCCTCTCGAAGTAATGGAGAAACACTGTCCCGACTGCCAAACTACCAAGTACGGTGCCGACGGCTAACAACACCTGCAGCAGCATAGAAAACCTTTGAGTGATTAGGGCACCATTCCATTCAGGGCAGTCAGAATCCTTTCACGTCTCGAATCGTTATAAAGGCTCCGAGATTGCAGAACTTCCCAGCAGAAACTAAACCATGAACATGGATCGATGCATGGATGGGTTGAGAAGAAAGAGCAGCAGGCGCTGTCCAGCCTTCCTAGTGCTAGTGCTTGTGCTTACGATAAGGAGTGATGATAATTTCAATTCGACACCGACCCCAATTTGCAACTTCCGACTGTTTGAAGAAATCAAGTATTTGACAGGACGGGAGAAATCTCACACTGACCCCGACACGCTAAACCTCAACTGGGGCTGGAACCGTCTGCTCCTCAGGTTCTAAGAACAAACACTTGAAAACGGAGCAAAGTTCGGTCACAGCATACGAAGCGTACCTTCAATCGAATGCGCAAAGTCTGTTTCTGCTCATTGAGTACATAACTCTTCGCCGTGTTATGATGCCCATCCTTGACAACATTCATCAGAAGGCTTTCTTGGCGGTTGAGCACAAATGTGACCATTCCGCTCATGAGAGCATCGATGAATCCGAACCCGACGAGCACCAGACAACAAGAGAGCATCTTCGCCAAGGGGGTGATAGGAGTTATGTCTCCATATCCGATTGTACACATGGTCACTATACAGAAGTAGATGGCGTCGATGACGCCAACTGTCTCGACTCCTTTGAACTCATCTTTCCTCCAGCAATAAATCAGCACGCCCACAAACAGGTACACCAACAACCCTACTGCAGCTTGCCACACAACGCCCCACGCTGTGATGTCGCGAGGTTCTCGTCTGTTGAAAATTTCAGAAGGATCTGCCTTGGACTCATTGTGTGATGTTACAGCCACGGTGCTCAAAACGGGCGCTGTGTTGCATTTGTGTAATTTTCTCCTCTCCTGTGAAGATGGTGGTGGAGGTCCCGGGCTCGTCTGTTCCGAATCGGGGACGGGGTAGTAATCCTTTACAGAAGGTCGAGCTAAATCACCAGCAGCTGAGTGCTCCGCACGAGTTCCACTGTCACTGAGGCTCTCGGCACTCCTCCATTCCGGAATCTCCGCAAGCAACCCCAGAGGAGGAGCCGCCTCCAAATCCCTCGGCTCAAGATTTGTCACGCGTTCGTTTCCCGTGGCTGTGGCCTCTTCGGGAATTCGAAACAGAGAACTCAAAGATGTTCCGCCGGGACTCGGTAACCCCGAGGAGTAGGACGATGAAGCTGCGGGTGCTGCTGCTGCTGAACTATTTTGCCTGCTGGATTCTCCGGATCCATAAGCAGGTGGGACGTAGAATTTCTCCGTCCTTCGGCCGACCCCGATGTCCAGAAACAAGCGGAAGAGAGAGTCGGGTGAGGAGGCCACGGGCGATAAACCCATGCTGGATCTCGGCCGAGGGCTGATGAGGTTGAAGGTGGGGTGATCGGATTTTCGGATACTCGGAATTCTGATGGGAGATACTGCTCCGTGGTCATACTCATGGTCCATGCTGCTCTGATCGGCTACTCCTAACAAAGGCTCGTCCATGGCTGCTTCCTGACCTGACGTTCCGTAGAGAGATACTCCACAGATTGACTGCTGGATTGATTGGTCACGTATTTCCCAGCCTCCGCCTCTGCTCCTGCTCCTGCACCTGCACCTGCATAGACACCTCAATGATGCTACTGCGTGGCTTCATTCGTCTGTCTACTCGCCGTCATCCCTCGAGTGCTTGGGGACCTGCCTGCATGCCTGCAAAACTCTACTGTCTCCATCCACCTTAAACCCAGCGAGAACTAAGCGAGATGTGTTTGCGACTCTATGCTCGAATGTCCCATCGCATGTCACCGAATTCCATTGTCATTCATTCGCACCACCGGCGCCTCTCGTCGATTCGGGTCCCTTCGACAATTTGGAGCTCCCTGTATCTCACAGGACGAGGAAGGAATTTCACTCGTCGTGAAGGGCAGGAAATTCGACAGATTGATTGATTGTGCGACACCAGAGGAAGACGATTCAGCGCAGGGAAACAAAATTCACGAGGGTGGAGTGACTGAGATGGACAGAATACGAAAATCAAGCAAAAGCAGGGAATGATCTCCGAGCGAGCTCCGCCACTAGCTGCCGCTGCCCTCCTCAATCCAATCACCTCTGCGAGAAACTACACCGACCAAAGCTGACAGACACCCCGAAGGGCTGCAAGCTAGTCGCAACTGGCCCCGTGCCACGAGGGCATCATCATCGGCCACAGTCGAACGAGCTGCGGCTGCCGTCGAGCGATTGACACCATCTTCACACCGTCCGTGCCCACCGTGAGCCACTAGACTAACACACACCACTACAGCGCACCGTGTGCAGAGAAATCACGAGAGCAGACATACGCACACAGTCTGAGCAGAGAGAGATGTGAGTCAAGCGGTGGAGCCGCACCAACCAACCAGCTGCGGGCACACAAACTCCAATTCTGATTGAGTCTCCTCTCGTCTTGTCTCCCTCTTCTTCCAGCAGCAAGCGCGGAAACGACCTGACTCTGCCACTCACTCTCAATCTCTCAGGACGAGGAGGAGCAGGAGCAGGAGCAGGAGCAGGACGATGGCTTCTTCCTCCCTCCTGCCTGCATCCTCTTCCTCTTCCCTTCTCAAAAGCGACCGACCTGGTCCTCGGGGCGGCGACAAGTGGACTGACACTCACTCACTCTCTGCTTCTTCTTCGTCACCCAGTTTTGTATTGACAATCATCTGCAGGCGCGAGCTCCTTCATCGCCCGGTGACTTCGTGCACCTCTCTCGATGCCGACTGTCAATTCGAGTGGCTCGCGGGGAGGGCCGCCCGGGGGAGAGAGAGGGAGGTTTTTGGTCGTTGCAGTCCCAGTTGCACAAAGGGGATCGGACCCGAAACTCGCGAGTTCACATTAGAAGCAGAAGACGGTGGCTAGATGAGGCCCGGTGATCGTCCGCAGGGGCGGGTTCACCGTGATTCATGCGGCGCAAGCACCGGGGACTGTGGGGAACGGGGCCCGCAGATACCCTAGACCCTAGCACCTCGCGAGGAATATGACCGGGTGGGTCCGGCTTCGGGTCGAGTTGGTTCCCGGTTCCCGGTTTGCCCCTCATGGAGAACCGTTAACGGACGTCGCCAGTTCTCCGTCGGAGTCCGGAACCTTGCCGACTGGAGGTGGACGGAGGTTGACTGAAGGAGGCCACTCTCGTCGTGGAGAAGGATATGAGTTCATTCTCCAGGACGAGTGATGGCCGATCGAGCTTTGCAGTGGGGAAGGAGATGATAAGAACGAACCGGATACGATTGGAATCCACAGGGGATGAGATCAGCGAATGGACCACATCGAGGTGACAATTTAGAAGTGCGTGATGTTTGAGGCGAGAGTGACACGATTCGAGATCTCGTCGCGTAAGTTCAACTGCTCGTTCTCGTGGACACGCGTCCAACTCGAATCCAGAGCCGTCACTCCGGCACCGCTACCGAAGAAGTTTCGTTGACGAATGGGACATTTCTCTGGAGGGCAGCACCATGCATGAACTGAAGTCAGAACCTGAGCGACATGTTCGAAGCCTTTGACGAACTTTTGGTCCTCGCTATTATAAGAGAGTGACTGCAAACACTTCTTGCGCGTTCGTGTTCGTCGAGCTCGAAAGTGGGTTGGGAATTCGTAGTCGCCGTCTGCTCGAGAACATGACTGGAGACCGGATGGCCCAGTGTTTGTTCCATGCCGGCGGGCATGAGGAAGTCTCTCTAGGCCCTGGGGGCAAAGCGACTAAGTTTCGTTCCTCCGGAATGTGAGGAGGTAAATTACTAGTGATCAGTCACTGTATTCTTATCATGGATTTACTCTTCCATACGCTTACCGATTTCGATGTGGGCATGGAAGAGTGTACTTGGGTCTCTTGTACGTGGGTTTCCAAACATCGCTATCTCGTGCCTCTCGCATGATTCTGGGCAGACGCGAGACTCTCTCCTAGAGAACAACAGCCTTCGCCAGGCCGAGCCCAATGAAACTTTCAAAGAAACGGAATTTACATCCACGCTGGGCGTGCTTCATAAATCACCGAATAGTCGGTGAGATCGGCAGAACAGCCATTACAGGAGTGCAGGATGAGATATCTCTTTCCTCGCTATCTAATCAAGCACAGTATAACATCCAGCAGCATGGAATAATTATGAGGAACAAGTCCATTTCGACGCGTGGGACTCGGAGAGGAAAAGATAATGGTTCTTGTATGGCGGATGTGCAGTGATGAGATGCGTCGTCGTGTCTTGCGTCCTGAGGGTGAGAGAGTCCAATACGTAAAAATTATAAAATACGTATGTTACGTATTCGGGGAGAGCCTACGGGAGCCGTAGGCGGAAGCAAGCCTTGCCGGCCGCCAGGCGCTCGTGAAGAAGAAGCAATCGCTCCGTCGATACGCATATCCGACGGTTCACAACGAAACGGCGCCACGAATCAGGACCATCCCGAGGAGATCCGGGTCAACGGAAGGTCTGCAGCTCATATTAAAAAACATGAGAATTCTCGAACACGTTCTGAGAATCTGAGGACCTTCTTCCTCCAGGCTCCATTGCTCCCATTGCTCCCATTTGCTCTCCTGGACTCGACACCGCAGGCAACCAGGGCACTTCGGAAAGTGTCTGACTGCTCTCGCTGATTGTTTTGGACGAGGGTCGAGTGGCTCGCACAAATCGGCTTTGAACATCTGGTGTCTCTTCTTTCCTTCCCTCCTTCCTCTCGCTCCTTCATTCGTCGATGGACTTTTGTTTCGTATCGTAGGCATGCTGGATCGTAGGTACGTGGTTTGATTGCACTCGCTCGCTCGCACGCAGTGCATTCTTTTGCAGACATTTTGGGAAGATGTGCTAGCTCCTATGAGCATGTACGGTCGATAGCTCTCTCCGGACATGCATGCGCGTACTTTGTTCGCCCGTGATGAGCATTGAGCGCTCTGGGCTTATACTGCCGGATCCTGGATGAAATGCCTGGCTCCAGAGCACACCGCAACGCAGATCTTCATGTTCTTCTCCTTGCAGTAGCACGGCATCATCATCCGAGAGGGATACGTGTTTTCTTTTAAAGTACAATCGAAGCTCCCAGGTGCCACGAGACCCCAGCAGTCACTTCCTCGAGTCAGCTTCTTTCAGCACACATGCAGTACAACTAGTAACGCCTTTGAGTCAGCTGCATCGAGAAATTTGTCACCGGTACCATCTTACTTCACAACAGACTGCCGATTCGGGCTCCAGTCCTGTATCGTCAAGTACCAGCAGACACAATTTGCATTTGTCGTCTCGTTGTTCCAATACGGCCTAATCCTAATCCCGGATTGGACTTCGAAATGCTTGGAGTCAAATTTGTTGCTCTGAAGGGTACATACGCGTTGGATTTGGGTAGCCTATTACGAGTAGGCCGTCGAGAGCGTCTGGGCTTGCCACGTTTACTCGATGGTGTATCCCTGAGTATATTTTTAATCCTAATGTACAGAAGGTGATTCTTCAAAGGCTGTGCGCAGACTGAGAATCCTTCGCTGACCGTAAGATGTATGGAGGGTCCAAACTTCGAAGCTCGCACCTTGTCCTGAAGTGATCCTCTGTGGTAGACCGCTATTTCCGTACGAATAGGATCTCCTCCTACTAGTAGATATAGGCTTTTCTCGAGTGACGGATTTCGTACTTTGGGTTGAAAGTGGACCAAGTAGATAACCAAAAAGTATGTGAATCTCTGTCATCGAGCTCTACAAGGATCGAATGATATGTATGAGAGGAAAAGTGGACCAAGTGGACAAACAAAGAAAATTCCGTGAAACTCCCACCCAGCCCCAGAAATATGAACAAATCGGAGGACTTTAAAGCCATGCAAGTATCGAACAAATCGTATGAGTCGAAGAGTGGACCAAGCAGAGAATAAAAAGATATGTGGACCTCCCATCAAGCATGACGAGGGCCAGTCTCGATGGTAAATATGTCAAATGTTTCCCAATTATCTGTTTCAAAGGGTAGTATAACATAATACAGACTTAATTTAACGTGATTGTTGTATGCTAATGCTCTATGTTAAAGAATGTAGATATTGTTACGAAAATGTAACATGAAGTAAATTTAGAACAATTAGATAACCAATAAAAAAAACTTTGGCATATTTTATGTTCTATATCACTTGGCATATTCTACATCACTCTAATGACATAGTAAAAATTTGTGATATCCATATTACTATAACTGAGTCATAGCCTTGTCATGTAGTAGTTACACAACCAATAAAAGCCGATTAAAGTTTTTCTTACTGGATATACAAACTAAAGCGCCGATAGGGTACCTTGGGATCAAGGGGTAGAATTCGAAATTGGACTCCAAAGTTGAGCCTTGGAAAGTGCACTTATAGTGAAGAGTAGCTAACGCAGGAATCTCAGTATTTTGTGATATTGATGAGCTCCAAGTCTTGTCGGATATTCTTAGAGTAGATAATATTATTTATTGAGTTATACTTGTGTTGGTGTAAGATATTTTGTGTATTGTGATATGACAGCTATATATGTTATGATGCGATATGTATGTGACTGAAAGAATTCTCTTTCACTCAAATACCTCTAAGTTTCTAACTTGTGTAGCTTTGTCATTTTTACTCCTTTCCACACTTTCCACACACCAAGAGAAAATTCGACTATGCTTCATGTTTTCTTCTCGTTTGAATCTCTTAGTCACCAACAGTTAATTTGAATTCTGTTGTGAGTCAAAGAGCTCTAATGCAATTTTAGACTAAGAGATACGAGTATGCATAATTGCTAGAACAAGTGTCTAACTTAGCTGTTGTAGTCTAAGGTATACTCTCAGAGTTAATGAACGTATAGTTTAGGATGTTTTTTCAGTAGTTGGAAAAAATGTGCACATGTATATTTATATTTACTTTTGATATGAAAAGTTTGCCATATAACAAGACAATGCACGTAGAAGATGTAATATCGCATTTGTATTTTTTGCATACACTTAGTAAGTATATTTTATCTATGACAAGTATATGTATAGAATTACTGCAAACATTAAAGAAAAATTTTAAGAGCGTCAATTCATTGGAGATTAGGTATGACGTTTGTGTTATACATATTTCCAAACCTTAAAGTACAGGAGCTTTTGACTTTTAGCTGTTGATATGATTCTGAGTTTGTGAAATAGAGAAAAACGAAAAGGAGAAATGAAATCCTTGATCAAAATTTTTTTGTAATGTCAAATTTAGTTGAAGAATTAAGCTATGGATGCAAATACATATAAACATCATAATATGTTGATAATTTAGATTATAGAAAAATATCAAGTGATGCATTACTCACTGAATATATAATTCTGACCAAAATTCTTTAACAAAATGAAACAAATATTTGATGTATTTAAATTATTATCAAAATCATTGAACATTCACTTTCATGAAATGAAATCTCCATGAAATGATCGTAAGTTTATCTCACTCTCATATTACAATGTAATTCAGTTTCATAACTTTGATTGCAACATGATAAAAATTAACTTGAGATGTATGTTTAAATAAGATAAAGTATTGCACCATTTCTTTAAAAATGGAATTACTATCACATAAATATTGTATCATGTGGTAACACATGTAGCCTTCGTTTACATAGTTCAACAATTTCAAAATTATGATATTTTTAACCTTATATTTCATTATCAATCAAACTATGAAATTCTAGACATCTAGTTTGAGTGATACAAGACATGGTACAAAATCCATTTACACTCTAGGATTACATTCAACCTAAATGATGTACATGGTCTTTCTCTTGTTCTTAATCCGTCAATGATATCAATCATTGACGGAATGTACAAAATGTAGGATTTAGGGCGCCAACTCAATAACGCGCTAGGGTCTACTTGAGGTAAAGTGTACACATGGTGAAAATGACATAGGTGCATTTTCAAAACGGACTCTGACCTTCCATAGAATAACACCTGGTAACGGGTGTCAATTCCGTACATTAAAACCAAGATTTGCTTATTCTGTTTGACATGTTTTAATCCACGTAACATTTATAGAGTATTTCACTTCTTAAATAGTTAATATAAAATCTTGATTGTTTTAACAATGATCTGGTCTATATCTCAAGTGTGTTTTGATGTATAGCTTAGATTTTTAAATGTATACATTGATTCACAGAAATATATTATCTGAAATATAATCAGAATTATACAGTTGTATTTAATGTGCATTCATGCGCGCTTTACATACCAACACTTGTGTAACTCGTCTACTCTATCTCGATCAATCTAACATGTGTGAGAAAGTGGATACAAGTCTAAACACATAATTGCACTACTTTTAGTTGTGAAAAATGAAATAAATTTTAAAAGTACGTATGCACTCCTTTATTCAACCGTCCGCAAAGTTTCCCAGATGTAATTCATAACACATATATAATTAACAAGAGTGCCGTCTGTCAAACCTACAGTTCTATAGCATAGCAGTTTTTGTTCAATCATGTATTTTCATGTATCCGTTTTCCCGGATGCTTATTTGTTTTGACCACGCAATCACAATTTTCAATAGATTCTCTTGACTGGATCATATAGATCAGCACTTCCACGAGCTCTGGGTTGGGCTCAATCTTCCTTAGTATGGCAACCTCCCCAAAACCTACCACCATCCTACTTTATTTCTTCGCGTCTCTGAATCTGAAACCTCTAAATAGAATCTGATGTATTTGACATTCCTTTGGAAACATTTGATATCTACGCAAATTGAAGTAAGTGTGGCCCAGTACGATTTTGAAAGAGATCATCTCTCCTTACATTCAATGCCAACGTATCATTTTCAACAGCGAAAGGATGATTTCGAGACTTTTCACTTGTAAAGGAATATCTCTCCATCCGGAAGGAGAGTCTAGCACAACTCGTGTGCCACCCGCTAAGGAAGCAAGTTTTACCTTGTTTGAAGTGAAGATTTTGATGCCCTGTGTGATCGCTTTCCACAGCGACACACAATTAGGGGGGCAGATGGATGTTTGGCGAAAATTCCCTTCATACCATCCTTAGAAGGATTGCTGGAAGTTAGAAAGTCAAATGCATACGCTCTTGTTCCTTAGACAAGGCTCCAGATATGGATCCAAAATCTAGAGGATCTTGGATCCATATCTGGATCTCAGAACTGGCTCCATCTGATGTACACGCCATACAAGTACCCTCTCAGTACTGGCTAAAGACGCCGATATCGAATCACGTTTCCAGAAATCGGAGCTTGTCAGATATTATGTGCAGAGTGTGTCTTTGAAGAGCTCTGCAAGTTGCAACGTCCGCTGCGAACCGGACTGAGAATCAAACAGAGACGTAAGAGTGGGCAGCCGTAAGATGATGGTAGGAGGTTTGATTCGTTTTCAAGGGGGGACAACAATGACAAATCTCCGACATAACGAAAGGCACTTCTGAGTGTCGTCACGAAGAAGAGATACAGCATCAGATGAAGTGTGATCGGTCAGACGGCCAAGGTTCCTGTAACAAGTAACCCTGAAGACTGCTCTCGAAAGAACATCGGAAGCAAACGACAAACCAGTGGTTCAAGACTGCGCGTGGATTTCCCATCTTCTCGGGATTTGATGCTCTAATGAAATACTCAGGACCATGCGTAAGCACACAACTCTTCAGAACAAAAAAACCTTCCCAAAGAACCGTGACCTTATGCCCGTAAAGTGGTGTCATATTACTTGTTTTTGTTCACTTTCAGTAGCTCTATATCAAACAGAAGAGTCTTGTCTATCAGTCCCTGATTTTTTAGTACGAAGTCCAGCGCTCTTTGACCCTGATAACAGAGAACGCAATACAATTCAGATTCAGTCGGGAGAGAATAAGGAGGATATAATAAAGCATCCCAACACTGCCCACCTTCTTTCCACAACGAGGTGCAAAGAGCGCGGAAACACGTTCGTTCGTTCAAATCACGGCAAAATCAAGAGCGTTGATATTGAGAGGATGTATATATAATCTGCAGGCTCGAGGCTTACCGAGAATGTCGCTGGCTTGGGTCCTTTCGTATTATAGTCGTTGTTTGGGTAGCCTAATTCTGGGGGCACGATCACTCTGCACAGAAAAAGCATTAAGGCCAAGTGACCGGTGAAAAGTGGGCAAATTTGTTCCTCATCTACACTTTCACTGCAGAATAGAAGAAAGCACTACTCTCTGATGAGTTGTGCGAGCTCTACCTTCGCACACCTCCAACACGCATAGTTTTGATTGCCTCCTCAAATGCGGGTATAACCTGTACATATATACATGACAGACAATCACATGCAGAAGGTTCAGGTTCACACTGCTCTAACGCCGTCTCAAATTGATAAAAAAAGGTTGAAGAAAGAAGTGATGTATCCTTCCTGATTCTGAAAAGCAACTGGCGATTGAAACACACCTCATCCCCTCCGACCCTAAACTTGAAGTAATCTCTTTCGCTTCCCTGAAGAGGCAAACAAAGAATAAATGAGATGTTTTAGGGTCTTCCTTCGAAACGATAAAAAAATGGATTACTGAAGGTGACACTTACATCTCGATGGACGACATCTTTGCAACGAGTACATGCACCGAAAGTTTACAACCCAATACCTCGAATGATCCGCCTTTGGCTTTATTGCGTGCTTCAAAAATTCGACCATAATATCCGATGGTGTAGCCAGCCCAATCGACCTGATCACATATGGGTCAGAAGTCTCACGTTGTTATTTACGGTTCCAACCTGGAGGGGCTGAATCGTGGTTGGAGCCGCTCAAGACCAACTGGAAACTGATGTCCATTGACCCACGAGCTTGCACATTTCATTTCATACACATCTAAAAGACAGAGAAGCAGTATACACCGAAAGACATAGAAATTCTGATAAAGGTGATCACAAGTTTCTAGCTTCACTAAGTCGGGAAGAAAATGCTAAGCTCGATAGACTAAGAACAGCAAGGAACTTACCATCACCACGTCACCTTGTTCGGGAGGCGGCCCAACTCCTTCTCTCAGATCCTGAGAATCATTTCAGAGAGTCCTGTGAGCACTTCGTATCTTCAACATACAAATTCACAGAGACGAATCCATCTAAACACAAAAGCCTTATTCAAGCCTCGTACAAACTCAGCTCCTGCTAAGACACGTATGCTGTCCCAGTTGAGACTTCTGTGCCTACTCAAAAGCGCAATCAGCAGCTTCCACAACACGAAGCACATTCAGATTCTTGAGCCATCAACAAACTGCTCCATAGGTTTTAAGAGACTGGGTGCCAGTGGTTTGTACCTTATACTGAAGACCTGATGAGGTTTCCACGTAGTCAGGGAAGCGCATTTTGGACTTTCCATAGTCTTTTCCACGTAAAGCTGGCACTGGATTCACAACGCAACCAGAAAATTCATTCCTGGCGACGTAAGAATTCTCACATGAGTCTAACAATGCCAAGTGATGATGGTGGAAACTTGAGTCTCGACATCAGACCGATCCAGCTCATGAAGGGTAACATATGATAAGAGGGGTAATTATTTGGTCAGAAAACGGGAGAGGGGAGGAAACGTAACAAGAAGTCGAGGTAGAGTAGAGAGAATGTTGAGGCAATTCTGCTTTGAAGGAGCTTCGGAGAATCCACCCTTGATGTAATGAATACTAAAACCATCGGCGAGGTGGTAGTAGGTCATGTATATATGTGTAATGAATGTAATACCGCGACTTATGTCGGTAGACGATGCAGTAGGAAGAATAGAATGCTTCCAGTCAGGCTGTTCCTAATACGAAGTAACTTAAATCAATACAACAGATTCATGGTGGAAGAGAGCTTGGAGAATGCGTACTGTCGGCAAATTGATTGGCAGATGCTCTTTCAACAGGCTGTAAACCCATAGATAAAAGTAGACCCAAAAGGCCTGACCCCGAGATATTGAGCGCTTCTCTACGACTAACACCATCACCCAAACCTCCACTGACAACCAGAGTTCGATCAACTTCGAGCCCATCGTCTTGGCGTCTGTCATTCTGACCTTTGATGGTGAGCCGGGACTGAATCTGCACAATTGGAGAGGCCCAGGAATCGGTTCAGCACAGATACACCCAAAAGCCTAGGAAGGAATGATAATCATCAAGTCCTCATGCTTGAAGAAGAGGACAGCTGCAAGCAACGACTAATGGCCTTTCTTGGAGAAACCACGCGTGTGAAGAGAGCCGGAGAGAGCTGTGTGAAGCCTGTAGTTATTCCAATTTGTAAATTGATACTTCAAGAATGAATCCGTACACCGCTAGATTGTAATGAGTGACAACTTTGGGAAGCAGCCATGACCGCCACATCTAATTGGCCAGCAATCTGGCTTCTAGGCTCAGCGGTAACAGCACCATCGCCACAGTCATCATTTTCAATGCACTGCTGTGCGATTCAAAATTCCAGCCCCTTTCAATATTTGTAGAATCTTGAGGAGAAGATCCCCGGCCAGATTCTCATCGAGAGGAAGGTGAATACGAGTTCCCTGAACTGTGAAGACACCACTTTTCGAATTCACTCGGATATCCACACATGGAAAGACATCAAAACAGCGACCTCGGGCATGAACAGCACTCAGTTCACTCCGCAGACATGTCAATTGACGGGCCGATACCACTCCTGACAGAACACTTGAAGCAGCTGGGACGGAACCAATACTTCGCTTGTTCATTCGCCAAATTGCGAGGCGTGAAGTGCCAGAAATGAAGCACGATGACCACTCACCTTCAGCTGCTGCTGCCGGCGAAGGAAAAGATTGCCGGAGTGATACCTCGTTCGAATGCCATGGACCGAGCAGCATGACGCTGCCGCTGCAAGCGCTTCAGCCATCGCTGCTCTTCGAACTCTGAGCTCGGCTCCGCTGCCTGCCAAGCGGGCGACAACTGAGCTCGGCTCCAATCCTGCTACGGCGCAGTCCATGGACTCCTCCAACTGCGTCATCTACTGCAGACCGGTCGCCACCTTACGTAGTAGAGATTTAGATAATGGCGGGTTCTCTCTCTGTTCTTTCCACGGAGGCAAAGCCATATTGCAAATCTCAAGCATGTTGATAAACGTAAGTTAACTTGAAATTGCAATCCTTACTAACGTGGCAAGATTAATATTACGAATGCAACAAGGGGCCATGTCCTATAGCACAAAAGATGGGAAGCATCGAACCGATAAAACCAAACCAAACAGGTAACATAAAGTAAGGTCCCAATGGTGTCACACTTCCCTAAGATATATTCCTAAGATTTATGTAAAACGATCTAAGATAAAAGTAAATATATAAGAGATATCTGAAAATGCGATTGTTGTACAATTTATGGTATCATGTTGTCTATATGCACACTTTGCATTAAATCTTCTATAAATACATATGAATGATGTAATATATATCCACAATCAGCTCATGAATCTCAAAACCACAAGATTGTATATATTTACTTTATATCGTTTTGTGATTATGTATCTATAGTCTTAGATTGATTAGATGAAAAAAGAGAAAAAGTTTATCAGTTTACCATTTTCTCGTATGGATTGTCTATTTCATGGATAAACAAATCTATCCACACACAAATTTATGTAAATACCTTCTTATGTTAAATTTTAGTGACAACTAGATACAATACATGAATGTGTAATGAACAAAGTGTTTTATGAATCAAAGTTGAGCTTTCATAGGTAGTAAGAAATAGGTAGGCGCTTAAAAAATACCAAATACCAAATAAAATTTGTAAAAATCTTATTTTTTTAGAAAAATATCATGCTAAGAGATTAATAAAATTTTGAATGGTATAAATGTACTATCAAAAGTAATATCTTCAATAGCTATTGATGAAATTTTTTCAATATAAAGCTAAATACAATCTTAATATTTCTTTTATTACTTATCTTTATATTTATCAATAAAATCATATTAATAATCAAATCTTGCACAAATAATAGAAAAAATCAGAATTTTTTATTTATAAAAATATATAAGCGATCATTATTTTTTATTCTATTTATTCTAATCATGACTTAATTTTATATTTTCCATTGTATTAGTCAATTTTTTTTATTAATTTATTCATTTAATTATCAAATATAACAATCATACTGTAATCATCTTTAGTTAGTTAAAATTAAAATAGAGGTTACTCTAAATATTAATATAGATGCTTTAGCGTGCACTAATCATAGCTGTCACATCAACGATCCGCGCGTTTAGTAAGTAAAGAGTATGTGTGTTAGTTGAGAACTCCACGTCACGATTCGGTGTGTTTGTTAGGTAAAGATTGAGTGTGTTGATTAATGTGTTAGTTGGAGTCACCACGAAAACATTCCGCCTGCTTGTTATAGTAATCCGCCATGTCATACATCCACTATGAGTGAGATGAATGGTAGGTATAATACTTTATCTCATTGTACTTGTTGGTAAAAGCTATATAGGGGAGAGTAGAACCATTGTTGTTATCTTTTATTTTCATATTTTATATTTTCATCTTTGAGTGAATTTCTCTCTAAATTCTATTGTTACCATGGTATCAGAGCATGCTTGCTTTTTCCTTGAGTGTGGATTATAACCTGTGAAATAACAAGTGAGTGATGATGAAATGTAGTTTTGAGAATGTATAGATGCTAGTAGAGATCATTACTTTGCATATAGAGAGTGAACAAATAAAGAATTGTGGTTTTGCAATATAAACGGCCTTGACAGGAATCCATTATCGCACTAACCGATTCCTAATCTGTTCGATATTCACTTTAGTTGCATGAAGAAACATCATTTTCGGATGTTCTTTGTGGCTTGTTTGGTTGCGGATTTTATGACTAGAGTGATGAAGTCGAGAATGACACTGATTCTTCCAATAGTTAGTTGTGAAGAGACTTAGGATTTTACCATATAAATTCTATACTTAATGCTTCATGGATTTGAATCGCGAACCACCCATCCCCATTCAGTTCAACGCTTATCTAGAGACTATAACAGTAATTCAAGTGGAGAGATTTTCTTGTGAAAAATTATACGTAAGAGTACTATAGAGTTGTGATAGAATCAACTATACTTTTTGTGATTTTTTTTTGAGAGGTCGTATAATGATTATACTCATTTTGTATAAGAGTGATTGTGAAAAAGCATGAGGACATCAATTGATATGCTTGAGGTTCTCAACGCAATCATGACGGAGATGAAGGAATTGAAAAAAACTATACTAGATTGACATATCAAGGAGCAAATCATGGAACATAAAATCTTCGCATTAGAGAATGAGAAAGTAGAGAAAGAAAGAGTTGGAGAAATGGAAATTCAAGAAATTGAAGATCAAACAGATCTTTTGCTTCAAATGAGAAAATCTTGTAAAGTGAAAACTTACAAAGAGAATAGACCGATGGGAGTGTTAGAGTGATGAATAACGAGGATAAATATTCATTTATCTCATTTTCATATTTTTGATTATACTATAGGAATGTTCATGAGATCTTATCTTACGGAAAAGACTCTCATGTGATACACAACATGAGAGAGAATGCTTTTAGAACGAGGTACTACCATTTTGTAGAATAAAATGTAATAAAGACTTCTGCAAAATTTTCAAGCGGTGTACTCTCTTTAAACTACAAGAATCAAGTTGTGAAATTTGAAACAAAATGAGTTTTTCATAAGTACATTGAAGAATTTTGTGATCTTCAAGTATCTATCATGGATAGGAATGGAGCAGAAGACTTGGACGTATCCAAACGAGTCTTGAAGGATCAAATTCAAAAAGAGATGATAGTAAGCAATCCACCCATAGTGAATGAAGAAATTGCAATTGCTCAATAAATTTTGAGTATTTTTGGTGTCACACACGGTGAACCAATAAGCAATTTTTGATATCCATATGGCTCAACACCGATCGAGTTCAAAAACCTTTGACGTAGAGAAGGTTTTGCACCAACAAGAGTATCACCGCTAAGATTTGGAGTTGAAATTTGGCATCCATGATTTTTAAATTTGCAAAAAAACTATGCAAATAACGGAATGATTCGAGAAGGAGCTGGAGTTTGTGTTAGTCGTCAATGTTATCCATGTGGACGAATGAGTCACATTGCCTAGTTTTGCCAAATTCGACTAGCACCACAAGGAGTACAATCCATACAGCGACGACCATTCAACAACTTGGAGAGGATAGATTATGAAGAGATTGAAGGAGAAGTTTCAGGATACAAAACTTACCAATAAACTTGCCTCGCGGTCTTATTGGTTCTACAAAGCGAAGAAACGGCGAGGTTGAAAGAAGTCAATGGTTGGAAGCTCATGGAATGAGTAAGAAGCAAGATTAGCTCATTGTCATTGATAGTCTGATGAAATTACACAAGGTGAGAGTTCTAATTGATCATAGAGCAACAGAGAATTTTCTTTCAAGAAGTGGTGCTATGAAGTCAATTTTGATGTTGATGAAGGACGTAAGTGCAGAAGTTGAATTGCAAAACAGGAAAACTGAAGTAATAGAAACACTTCCATGGAATGTAGAAGTATACATAGATAGATACAAAAAGAGTATTGAATGGAGAGTAATTCGTCTAGCTCGATATGATGTTATCTTTGGAATTCCATGGATGAAGTAATATAATTTGAAGATAGATTGAAGAAGAAAAGTAATGACAAGTAGTGGTTGGAAGAATGATGGAAATAGAATTAGATCTCAAAATAAAAATTTATCCCTCTTTGTGATGAGTAAAACTTACATTTTTAGATATGATGTATGTTTCATTGTACTTATAAGAGATATTAGTTCCACGGATAAACTTTACATCCTGGAGTCTTTGATCGACATTTTTATAGAGATTAAATATATTTTTCTAGATGATTTACCTGCAAGATTATCACCAAAGAGACGAGTAGATCACAAGATTGATGTGATACTTGAAAATACACTAACTTGCAAAGCTCCATGTCGTTTGGCTCCAAACGAATTGGAAGAAAGCAAAGCTCAAGTGGAAGAAATGTTGAGCAAGAGATTCATTCAACCGTATTTTTTATCTTATCGAGCTCTAGTGCTCTTTGTGAAGAAGAAGTATGAATCCATGAGACTACGCACTGATTAAAGGGGGTTGAATTAGCAAACGGTGAAAAATAAATATCCATTACCTTGTATGAATGATTTGTTTGATCAACTTCAATGAGCAAAGTATCAAGCTAGATTCGAAAATCGATTACAATCAAATTCAAATTGCAGATGAACATGTTCACAATACAGCTTTTTGTACTAAGTATAATCACTTTGGGTATTTAGGTATGTCTTTTGATCTCACTAATGCACGAGCTACATTCAAGGTATTGATGAACGATATCTTTTGCCCTTATACTAGATAAATCTGTCATTGTTTTTTAAGATGATATATTGGTATATAACAAAACTTTGAGTGATCATAGAAATCATTTACGAAAAAAACTTCAAATTTTAAAAGATAATCAATTGTATATCAAAACTTCAAAATGTGAATTTGGCAAATCAAAAATAGATTATTTCGGTCTTAGAATTACAGTTGCAGGTATCCAAGTGATGAGTAAAAAGATAGATGTCATTCAAAAATGGACATTATCTAAGGATCAAATTCAGTTGAAGAGTTTTCTAGTACTCATTAGATTGACTCGTAGATTTGTGAAAGGTTTTGCTCGTCTAGCTCAAACCTTGACTTCCATGTTAGGAAAATGTCAAAAATAGATATAAAGAACAACTCAAGAGATAGTTTTTCAAGCATTGAAAAATACTTTGTTACAAGCAATTATACTCAAGTGATATTATCTAATCTTGCTATCAAGTTGACTACTTACACATTAGGTACTGCAACCTCCGGGCTGACTCTCACTCAGGTTTACCTCATATGGCTTTTCGGTAGCTCATCATGATTCTAGAAGACTAGGATTCTGAATCATACTCATAACCTAAACACACTCTTACACAATCTCTCAAGGTATCACTCCAACTCATACACTCATCGACACTTCAAGGTACTGAAAATTTATCACTCTTTCATATATGAAACAAGTCTCTACATATAAACTCTCCAAACTTGTTTGAGAGTCTCTTCCCTACCTCTCTATATATACTATTTGATAATTTATCATAGTAACAAATGATAATTCAATTCTAATCTACTTTTACAAAGATAAACCATAGTAAGGTTAACTAGTTATCAATATGTGACAACATGCCATTGGCCTCCTAAACCTTCTAGATGTTTACTAATTCCTAAATTGAGGTGGCGACATGCCATTTGTGACTTTTCAACTTCTAGAACTTTCACTTTTCATTAAGTCAACATTAAACTTAGTCTAACCAATGAATTACTCCTTACTTTAGTCAAACCAATCAAAACTAAACATGAAGTCCAAAAGTCTTTTCTCTTGGTATCTAAACTTTTGTACAAGACAAAATAGAAGTGCTCATTCAAATCTTCTAGAATTTCTCTAGTTATTCCGCCAAGTATATACATTATAGCTAAACTAGCTAGATTTAGTCATAACTATCTTAACCATGATTAACTCCTTGGCTAATTCTAGTTTTATTTCACACATGCAATATCCGGTGTTACAGTACAACGATAGATGGCATACTTCAATAAGAATGGGAGTATAGATGACATCCAGTTGCTTTCTATTCTTGAAAGTTTTTTTGGCGGCTGAACAAGATTATCACACGACAGAGCGGTAGGAGTTAACCATTGTGTTGGCAATCAAACACTGGAAGTATTATTTGGGTGATAAGGAGTTTGTGGTGAAGATCGATCATAAACCCTTGGTTTAATTAAGAAATCAGAAGTATCTATCTAAACGACATTTTTGATGTGCAGAGTGACGTCAACCCTTCAACATGAAGATTGTTTACGTGAAAGTGAAGAAGCAACTTGCGGATGCTCTCACATACATGACTTGTTTGAATCATGTTGCAGAAGTGAAGATTCAAGTAGATTGATGGAGCAAGATGGCACAGGCCACAAAAGAGTATGAAAAAATCATGATGGCAATACAAGCTGGATGATCATAGAAGGCTAGAGGTTTGATATTCTACAAACAACGTATATGGATTCCACAAGATCAAGAGTTACGTACAATGATTTTATCTGAAAATCATGATACAACCATTGCAGTTCATGTGGGAGTGGAGAAGACCTTTGAGAGCATCCAGCGAGTTTACTTTTGGCTCAACCTACAGGAGTGCGCGGATGTGTACGTTTGAAGTTGATTTGCTTGTCAACAAAACAAGGCAAGTAATAAAAAACCAGTTGGTTTATTAAAGCCTCTCCATATTCTTGAACAGCGATGATAATATATTACCATGAATATTGTATGTGAGTTACCAAAAACTTCTTTAGGAAATAATTCAGTGCTAATTTTTGGAAACAAATTAAGCAAGATGATTCACATTAGATCAATCACGAAAATAATGACAGCTTCACAACTTGCTCAATTGTACTTAAATGTTATTTTTGTGAATCATGGATTCAATAAAGTCTTAATCATTGATAGAGTTACTCATTTCACTAATTTGTTTTGAATAACTTTGCTTAGTTTTTTCAAAATCAAATTAGTAGTGTCAACAATTTATCATCATCAGACTGATGGTCAAACAAAGAGAGCCAATATTATTGTAGAAAATATGCAACGGACATTCACATTAGAGTAGCAAGAAGATTAGGATACTCGTTTGCCTCTTGTGAAATTTGCATATAACAATATTGTAAATGCATCCATAAAAATGTCTCCATTTTGCTTTATATATGGTACTCATCTCATTATTTCATCAAGTTTGTTGAATTTTTTGAAATTAAGAGTTTGCAACTAAGGTAACCGCTGTCAACAAATTTGTTTAACATATCCATCAAGGGTTACATCAAGCAAAGGAGAAGTTGTTGATTGCTCAAAATCGACAAAGACAACATGCTTATGCTAAGTGTTGGAGTTAGTATTCCAAGTTGAAGATCAGGTTTGGTTATCTGTAACAATTTTGTTTCTTATATGAACATCAAAGTTTAATACTAGATTCATTGGTATTCTTGTGATATTAAAATGTGTTGGTGAAATGTCATACAAGTTGAAGCTTCCGTCACATATGAAAATATATAATATATCTCATGTGTCACGATTGCGAAAACATATAACACGATCAAAATAATTCAGAAATCAACCAATGTTACCTCCTTTTCTAACCTTGATAGCTGATCAAAAAGAATTTGAGTCAAAAAAGATCCTCAAGAAACGGATTGGAATCCATAAATATCCCAAGGTTGAATATTTGGTTCTATGGAAAGTATATTTAATTGCATTATGTAGTATACATTCTTTCAAATTCTACAAAAATTTGAACGAATGCTGATGTAGATGATGGTTCTGCAGTTATTCTGCACGTCATCTATCTCATTCCTAGTGGATGGATAGTGGGGATAATCTCTTATTTCTTTATACTTGTTGCTGAGAACTATATAGGGGAAAGTTAAACTATTATTGATATCTTTCATCTTTATAATTTTTATTTTTTGTTTTAAATAAAATTCTCTCTAATCTCTAGTGTTATACATACATATGCATCTCATCAAGCATTATAACAAGGTAACAATAAAAATTGTACATGATCACATCAAATAATACACACTTGACTCAACATGTACAATAATAATTACAATTCAAAAAAAATGTACAACAACACTTAAGATGTTCTCAATATTAGAAGAAAATGGCTTACAAATAACATCCAATAAGCATCATATGATATGATCTTTTCATGTGAATTGTAACATTTGTCATTTTAACTAAGCAACAAAACAGTACACATTAAAATGAAAATTTTGACTTACATCTCTCATAGCGTGGTAAATTCTTCTGTTTTTATTTACAATCACATCAATGTTTGAAACTATTGTTTCATATAAATTCAAAGTGAGAGTAACAACTATATTTTATGAACTCCGCGGTCCAAACATTAATATAAAGCAAATACATATGAATGTATCTCAAAGCAATGAATCTTACAATATTTCTCAAAACCGAAGTTATATCGTTGTCATATACTAAACAATTATATTAAATCTAAAGATTACAATGTTCAATTGAGATCATTTGGAAAACAAAATACAACAAAATTTCACAAAACAAAGCAATTTAAATGTTTGAGTGTGTATATTTTGAATGCTTTTATTTCAAATATCTGGCATTGAAGCTTAGATATAGGAAGAAAATACTATTATTCTATGAATATCATAGTTATCAACTTCCTGAAACTGCTGTAACGTAACCTCAAAGAAATCTTACCCAATTGTGTACAAAGAAGCCTGCGGGTTACTTTAGAAAGGTTGAGAGTCTTGGAGACGACGGACATGTGTGAGTAGAAATGAGAGTTCTATTTACGCCACTTTTGTAATATCTTACAACACAAACTGCGCATTCAAGTAATAATGACTATATCAGAAACGACATTAGGGGTTCACAGTAAAACTTTGGCATATGTTGGGTGAGCATTTCAGTAAAAATTCACGAAAGCGGTCGGGATCGCCCATCTGGCTCAACAGGTAATTTGCTTCCCATAAATTTCTATAAGGGTAAAAGATGTAAGTACATTCTAACTCTTAAGGATTAAAGTAAGTTCTGGAGACTACCTTCTTGTATCCCGTAAGATTTTCTCACATAGGCAATGCTTTTTTCTCCCATTTTTATTATCCTTCACGATCGCACATCTGTAGATAGATAACAGAGGCACTAAAATAGAAACATACCATTTGGACATCTTAGAAGTACCTTAAGCAACTGGGAAAACATGCTTTAAAGAGCGACTCGTAGTTGATGCTTTTTTTTTCGTAACTGGACTGGGAAAAATACCCATTGTCCACAAATTGAGCGGTCAGGTGGAAACATCCTAATCTTAGAAACTCATATTCCAGTCCGCTTCCAATTAAACTTCAACAATGTAACAAGGAAAAATATATACGGCGGCTCTGCAATCGTGCCAGCCCTAGTCGCTTCTACAATTTCTATCATAGGACCACAACCAGTCCTACGTCCAACATTGATGGACCCAAGGGATAGTGGTGCCCGATACGGGTCACGATAATTTCGCTTATCGGAAATTTTTACCTACCTTCGGGTCTCCTTGGATATTTTAGTTGCAATTGGTGGCCCAACTTGTATCGATCAACGCTCTCTTCAATCTAGTTCTGTGTCGAGGTCAAAATTGTGTATAAAACAGGTATTCCGTGAAATCCTGATACATATACCGTGGTAAAAGGAGGACCCCTATTCATAAAGACTACCGTTCTGGGACTGTAACAAATGCATCCCAAAGAGAGTGATCAGACTGACCGTATGAGCTTGCGTCTAAACCTGCGTACACGCGAACTCATATCCTCGTAACTAATTCTTTATCTGCTCCATTTCCCGGCTTAGGTGGCTCTCCAGCACTTGCAATAATATTTTACAAGAGGCTGGTGCAGTCAATGGTCCGCACAAAAAATAGACAACATTTCCCAAAGGGCGAGCGAATATGCCGTTTGCTCGCAAGCTTTGAATCAACCCTTTTGTTGACGTTGAAGCATACCTGTTTGGTGAAGAAGAAATCAGCTCAAGTTCTTAGTAATGCAGCTATTTATGCATATGCAAGTTGAGAAGCTTTCATTCCTATGTTGATGTCTCAACAGTGGAATCACAAAATAATATCTACTATCACAAAGGGAAATACGAAAATGAAAGTGATACGACTTGATAGAGCTCAATACAAAGATCACTCTCTGCCACTTCCTCTCATCAATTAAGTGTACTCTACTTACAGTACAGCTGAAGGCTCTCCAAGATGGTTCCATAACAGTGAGTTAGCATTCAGGATCCCGAGGTTCATAATAATCGTGATGTAACTCAAAGAAGATGGAAAGAGCAGATAAATGGCCGCGCAACAACGCTTAAACACTGAGAAACTTGGGAACAGAGAGGAACATACCCTGAGTCTTTGTCCTGAAGTTCACAAGCGAAAAGAGTTCCGATCGTAGTTACTCTTTTTACAGAACGATGGCATGATATAGCAGCAACAAGCTCTGGCTCCCATAACTGCAGTATCAAGAGGGCCATGCAAAAGTGAAGAAAATTCGAAGCGAGAGAAAGTTCAAAAGCATTTAATTTCTGGTATCTATCTTCGATAAACCAAAACCAAAAAAGTTATTGAGCCAAGTCTCCATCGACTAGTTACAATGTGGATAGCTTCCCTTCGTTTTTTATGATAGCTATCACTTGTTACTTACTTCGAGAAGGCGACCACTGGGTAGAAGGTTCGTATTCTTGGAAGGATCCTTGAAGTATTGTAGAGCTGCCACTGCTGTTGCACAGCCCATTGCATGGGCAGTGTAAGAGTGACCATGTAGTAGTGCATCAAGCTACCATACACATTCACCATTAAGTACGTTCAATTAGAATTCGCATCTTGTGTCCAGGAGGAAAAGACCAGGAGACGAGCACTGACGCACCACAAAAAACAGCATGAGAACTAGACAAAAGTTCTGGATCGACCCTTATTTACCTTGGACAGGCCCTTGAACGATTCAAATACATCTTCCGTCGCAAGCGTGACCGCCAGCGGAACAGTACCTCCAGTTAGAAGCTTGGCGTAGCAGGCAATGTCAGGGTAGCAGTTCAAAAGCTCTGAGGTAGACTGGATTTTCAGTTGTAAAAAGTTGTTAGCAACAAATCTGATTAAGACGTGAAATAAGAGCAAATTCTTAGAATGAAATCCAGCATTCGGTACTGTGTGACGGATACATGTAGTATGTATCTTCGTGGTGCTTATGAGACCGGTTCCAGATTTCAATGACATGAACGAAACGAGTAACATGCTCAACACAACACCTTACCTGAACACCAAAGCGCCAGCATCCAGCAAAAATTTCGTCAAAAATCACAGGTACGTTTCGATTCCTACAGACCGAGACAAGAACGCGCTGGAAAAGAGGATCCACCATTTCCATACCCCCTGCACCGTGAATGACTGAAGTGCAAAGAGCAGAAAAGTTAAACTGCGAGAATTCAAATATAAGATGGATGTCATACCCCTATCCGAGAATTTAACAGCGTTAAAATATCAGATTCAAAACAAATTTCTTATCACTGTGTTATCACAAAAGTATCCATCCAAACGGAAACATTAGAAAAAATTGAGAGCATGCATTCTGAATCATCAAAAATTAAATTGCTCCGTCCTTCAAGTATCAATTATGACAAACTTGAATCATTTATGGTGCATTCTGAACTTACCAGGTTCTATAATCAGAGCAGCGATTACGTTTTTGACCTCCTTAGCCTTGTGAACAGAAAGTTGATTATCAACGTATGCGCGATAAGTCTCGGCCAAATTTGTCTGATCTCTAGTCGCACTGAACACGTCGTCTCGAGAATCGAAAACCGTATCTGCATGTTTCACTGCTGGCATCCACACATTTTAAGAAAAGTCTTCAAAAGATCGTCTAAATTCAATACTTTCCAAAGCACATTAGTCATTCACCCTTCACAGAAAGCAAATTAAAACGACTGAAGCACAAACTCATTGCTCCCGTGATTGTAGGCAAAAAGCACATATAGAGAGTATTCATCCAAAAATACTACGAACACTTAGCTATATAATAACATTACATTTCATATAATGCACAAGAAAATTTCGTCTCTAAAGACAAACCCTATGCAGGGAGCATAGCGCAAACAGACCTTTGACGGCATTGTCCTTTAACAAAGAGTCTGGAATATCCAACTGCCATTGACCCATCTGCATGTACACTTTTGGGGAATCCAGAAACAATCCTCTGCCAGAATACCTGTACCAGCAAGACTTCTTTCTTATGATACAGAACACCGACACACACAGCAATAACAAAACAAAGGTTCGAATATGAGCTGTGAGAATGTAAGCGAAAAATATGATTTAAGTTTTTCTCTCTTTCCCTTTTAGTTCTTCAGTAACAACGCAGGAGGTACTAACCAAGGCTGCTGAAGAAATCCCGTGTAGGGATTAGGCGCCTGTGCCTCCATAGCCCCCAAAGTATCGCCATGATATGAGCCGCTTAGTGCCAGAACCTGCGGTGGTAGCACAATGAGAAAATTTGCTCGTGAAATTTTGTAAAGCCAAAACGCCTGTTTTTGTCAACAAATAGTTCCGCAGCCGAGGCTGTCGATGCCTGAGGAAATTCTTGAATAACTAATTTTAGTCCACGATCAGTGTTTAGTAATTATTGACTGACCTTTAGGGAAGGTTGGCTCTCAACAGACTTCCAAGATGTATCCGCACTGAAGAAACTCGCATGATCCTTCACAAACTTCCTGAAGGCCATCTTCAGGGCGATCTCGATAGCTGCTGATCCAGTATCGGAAAAAAATACCCTCCTTGCCCACCCTAGAGATCACACCAAGATAAGACTATATGTAACCTCCACCTACACTACTGCCGTCAGGAAGGAAGGGATATTGTAGTCGCACCATTTTGAATTTTCTCTGAGAATGAAAAGCTTAAAGTTCAGCAAGTTCAACCTTGGCCCACTCCTTCAAGGAGAAGTTCGGCGCAACGCAGCGCAGGTTCGTGTACATTTTCTGGGAACATAACATGCCCATATCGCCCAGCTGCATAAGCCGCTTCTCTGGCGAGTTCTGGCTGCCAGTAGTTGTCAGAGGAGAACTAAGTCAGTAACTTCCAGATAATTTCTTGTTACACTATTGGCAATTTTATCATCTTCTCTAGTTTATTCGGCCTTTTGCATCTACCCTAAAAATCCATGTCAAAGCTCAGGAAGAACAGACCTGCAGATGCATGTCAGGTCCTTGAGTCCACCAACTTGCACAAGCATCGAACTGTGATTCCAATCTATCTCCGTCAGTGCTCTGAACACAATGCATAATCAAACAGGTTATTTATACATCATCATATGTTGTTGTTCATCTAGTTCATTATGTATAATACGTGATGACAGATCTTTCTCTCGAGGGGAAGAAGAGAAGAATTGATGAAAGGCAAGGTTCAGCGTGGTCGGAAAGAAGTGACTTCGCATTGCCCGACTCAACCCTTCAAAACCTTCTTTGAAACCTGTGTTTCACAAGAAATTCAAAATCATCATACCTTGAACACTGAGAAATTTTCACCACATCTGGAATCGATAAGGGTAATTTCTCCCGTAGGAACCATAGTATGTTGCGTGAAAGGCCACCAAAGTATTTGTTCTGCTTTTCTGGGCATTTCGTGCAATCTCTGTATTCTTCTCAGATGAGATTCCTCCAATGCATATCGAATTTGAGAAAAACACACTTGAGATTCATCAAACCAGTCTGACAATCCCTTACTAATGTCTGGTACTGGTGGGAGAACAAAAACTGGCACCCTGCACAAGGTACAACACAAGCACTGTGTTCTCAAATGCTTGGATTTAGGACCGGAGCTTCTGCCGTGGAATTTTTCCCGTCCAGGATGATACCGGGCAAACAGAACCACCATAGAAGTCCACCGCCTGAATATGCATTGTAGGTCTGATTGTTTTCTCCGCAAAACGAAGGTGAAGTATATTCAATGCAAAAGTTTTAAGCCCAGCTGTGCGTTGACTAGGTAGAGGTGAGTCATCGCGCCTGTTCAGAATCAGGAGATGTTAAGCAGTAACTAAGACATGAAGGCCTCTGTCGGGAAATTAACATAACAAACACAGTTGAAACAAATCAAAAAAAACAATGACAAATCCACAATCTTCTAAGGCAACAAGCTTGGAAATCAAGCCACGTCAGTTTTGATACTGATCCTTTCACTTATTTGTCTCTTAACGTCAAGTGAATGAACTGCCAGCTATAAACAAAAACACACGATGGTTTAAAGTTGAGAGACTTGGAAAGGGTCATACATGCTATAAGATATGATATATAAACATTTATGGATCTCTCCTAGAAAGCAAAAATTAGAGAATTTGGAAACTTTTGATAGAAGGTGTTACTACCTTCCCTGTAAGTACTTCAAAAGAGGTTTTTCATTGTCCAAACCGTAGTCCGACAAGACAACTGCTCCAACATCATAGCCGCGAGAGTGAAGGCTTTCATACGCTGAAATTGTGCTGGATATACCTCCTAGATGTCCATCACCCATAAGAACAGCAGGGAGTCTCAAGGGTCTGCACAACTATCCAGCACAAAACTTAAATTGGAACCATTCCCATAGTTCTGATTTAAAAATGTTACGACACTGGTTAACAGATAACATTTGAAGATGTGGCTATCCTTGAATTTCTATATACTGTATAGAAGTAGCCTCGGTGATATTTTTTCCACAGCTCACGTGAAATCTGCACATTCGGTTGAATTGCGAAGTGCATAGCACCTGCATAATGTTGGAAAGAGTGCATAATGGACTGCTCTTGTCAAAAGCTTCCACTAAAAAGTAGAATCCCGACTTATGCTGGAGTCTCCTAAGATACACCAAAGACCATAGAACTTTTGCAATCAAACACGATGCCCCTGATCTGATACTTCACTGGGAAAGCTACGCTCGATTTCTACGAATTGTTGGAGACATACAAGAAAAACCCAATAAATTGCAATCTAAGTAGATGAGCAAGTCGGAAATGGACAGCACCTGTAAAGATCACATTGCAAAGTTCCGGAAGGTCCAGGACTGGCGACTCCACCGGCAGTCTCGATAAGGACCCACTTTTCGGCTCTACTTTCTTCGCCGGCCTCGCACCTACTTCCGTCATTTATATAGCCGATGTTGTGAGATTCAAGGGCAGACTGTATGCTATGAATCACATAGGAGTCGTCTACTAAGGTTCTCTCGGTCTGAGCTGCATAATGTGGGGAAACAGGATCAAACCATGCCAACATGGTTTTACATGTTAACTGAGAGGGCAACGAGGCCAATGCTGATGAAAAACTCTCTGTGCTTCTTCCTTGAGAGTCAGCCTCCAGATTGTCATGACCATTCATGTAAAAGTTAGGCCTTTGGCTTCCTTCGAGGATGAGTTCTTCGTAGCTCCCTAAATCTTTCATCCCCGTCTCCTCCTGACCAAGCACAAAGAAATATTACACTCAGAAAGGAACTGTTAAAATTGCCTGAATATCGGCTACAAAAACCCTATCGTTCATGATCAAACTTAGACAAACCCCGGCTACTACACCCAAAACTGCGGCGTGGTTGCTGAACTGTAATAGCAAAACAGAAGATAAATGTAAGCTAGTGAGGAGCACGCAGCAGATCAACAAGCTAATCGGATCAAAATTTTGGCATCGTACAAGAGAAAGAATCAAGTAGCTACCTTGGACTTCACAGCCCAGTGAACTGCTGGAGAGGCCTTCAATGTGTGGTTGCATATGTACACCTTGTTTTGAATTCCATGCGGACTACTCCTCAAAATGTTCGAGACCTCCCGGGTCACAAATCTGGCATCCGAATCGGCGGGGTACCCAGTTTGTACAGGCTTGAGATACATCACATCTCTGGACCGTGCCTTCCGGGAAGACAGAATCGAGCCTAACAAGCCAGCTGACAGCAGGGTCTTGCCTACGCCCGTGTTCGCTCCCCATACCACGAAAGTGGGATGGGAAAGATTGACACCTCGAGTGGCAACACTGACTTTCCTGGTTGCAGGACTTGAATCGTCCGTGCCACAACATTCTTCCCCTGCCCGCTGCTGACTCAGATGCCGAGTCTGCGATGTGCATCGAACCTTGCGAACTTGCAATCCGACACGATCACAATCGTACCCAGATAGAGATCGCCGAAACAGGAGCGCGAATCGAGACATCATGATCCCAGATCATAATCGACTCGACTTTCTACCGTACCGATCTCGCTCGCTCTCGCTTGTCGAGCAATTTCTCACGGCCCCCATTCTCCTCCTCCACTCCGCACACTCTCGAGCGGAACCCGCAGGCACTCTACCGACTCTCCCGGAGAGGCGACGTCGCGGCCTTGACGTGGCGGGTCTGGAGTCCGCAGCCAATCAGAAGCGACCTTTCGATCTCCGAGCCCGAGACGATGGCTCACCGTCCGCGACGCACGCCGGGGGGTGGCCGGTCGGCGACAAGGCAAACAAAGGTCGAGAGGATCAGGATGGAACCACGGAGCAGGTCGAATCTATGTCGTTGGGCGGACTGGGCCTAAACCAGCGGCAGACAAAGGGTACGGTAGCGACTCCAGACTGGAGGGAATCTAAGTCTGGTGGGGCGGCCTAAAGCACTTACTTACGCGCAGCACTGTTCAGGGCCCTTCTGATAAAGTTAGCCCTTACTAGCGAAGATTCCTAAAGAAGAACTTGGCCAACGATATAACCAGAGGAGCAAGATTCGCGGTCCCTGGAAGGAACAGTCAGATGGAACACACATTGATTTCCTGTCGATTAAAGCCCCTCTTAAAGACTGCTGCCCCACCCCTGGCCTTACTCGGTCATCCCCTCGGCGAACTGTAGGACTACTGCCAACCAGACCACACGGACAAACTGCGTCTTCCTCGGAACCACAACTACAGCAGGCCTAGCGCGGGCACAGTGAAAGTCGGCTAACTTAGCCCTGCATGTCAACGAGGAGAAGAATCCGGCAGCCGCAGATGAAGTTAGCCAGGCTTTAAGCTAGCAGTACGGTCACATATTTGCCGTGCACAGTGAAAGCTCGCCAGCGGCCGAGTTGGCCTACCATGGCTGAAGCATGACGGAGAGATTCGCCCTGTCCTTGTCGGCCTCGGCACCTTGCTCGCCCTACCACGTCAACAGTGCGAAGCGAAGCCTTGTTGCTCTGGCAAAGTTAGCCAGCATGCACTGTTCAAGTCTTGATTATCATGGTCGGCCCCTCGTTAGTCCCTACTTGAGCTACCACGTCCACAGTGAAGATTCTGCGCTCATAACTATCCTGGTCGGGCAAAGACTTTGCATTCCACCCGGGTCTTTGTTTTTCGCCATTTATCGCTGTCGATTGATCCATTCAAACAGTCCCGAATTGCATTGCACTCGATTGCACTTCGGACTCCAGTGACTCGGCCGTTCCCAACATTTTTTTCACCGTGATTTAGCTCCACATGCCCACTCCGATCCGAGAATCCTGTTTTACGAGTTTTGATGTAAACGATTCGGTTTACTGTTCGCTGAGTTCTGTCTGATCATATGATCCTTTCCAGTGTTTTCTTCCCCAGGGTGCAATCCCCCCGTGGTGTTCATCTACATCGATGTGTGGGGTTTGAATCCGATATCTGTTTCAAGATTTCACGTTGAGACTGTATCCGCCGTGGCATACTCTTTCATTGTCATCGTTCAGTTCTCTCGATACCAAACTCGTCTGTCCAGCTCATCACTCAGCGTTTGAGATTCACCATTGGGTACTCAATTGTGATCATGATCCAGGCTTGCATTCATGCACATCTAAACGAGAGGCATATTCGAATAATCTATGAGAAGACAATCAAGTTGTTTTTTTCATATATATCTATGTTCATCTTCTCGAACCAAACCTACGATTTTTCAAAAGTGATTTTAAGTATGTTTTGAATTGTAAGAGTATACTTTATTCATAATATATAATATATAATCGAACAGTATAATCTGGTCATTTGAGATAACTTTTCAATTCACTCCAAGTCACTTCTTTAAAGAATGGTTTCTATATGTAATAATAAATTTCAAAGCCTTCCACAACACAATACAATTACATTGAAATTAATCCTTGATGGACGTAACATTTGAGGAGATTAGTTATTTTTAACAAAAATATAATTTACTTCATATCAAGTAATTGACATTTCATCAAAAATATTTTTTCATTTGATATTTACATATTAATTTCTTTCATGACATTTAATCATGACAAGTTGTTTTCATAGAATTATTTAATAATTTTTATTTCCTAAAAAAATAAAATTAAATATTAGTCAGACTAAGAAAAAAAAAATTATTGTGCAAGTTTTGACTAAAAATATCATATATACATTATTGCAACCTAGCATCAATTGAACTGTCACCTTACATTGCAACTATATTGTGATATATATGATATTTTCATTTATCATAGTAATTAATTTTTTTATATATTTTTTTTGTGCTATATATTTGAATTTGAAATTGAAATTTTTTAATTAATAATTTATCTTATAATTTTAAATAAAACAGAAATATCAACATAAATAAATTATTCATGATCATGTATATACTATACTTACTTCCATAAAGACAAGTTTATGAGGTAGTACACAATTATATTATAAAGGTCAATTGTGTAAAATTTTGTCCATTTAAACAAAAAGGGAAGAAAAGAACCACTTTTTGCAGTATGATATGAATTTACATTCATGACATTCATCAATAAACATTTCGAAATATAATATAATATATTCTAATTACAAAAAACTTATTAGTGTGTAAATTTTTTTTTGGATAGTCAAAGACGTAAAGTAAATTAGATATAGATAATTTCATCTTTGATTACATTATCACTAAAATACATTTATCAAATTCTATTTTCACTGCATACTTGAATCAAAATTTTCAATCAAGAATTTTTGTAACAAGAAAGGGAGAAAATTAAATTATTTTAATTTTTGGTATCTGACTGAATAAAATAATAAAATATATTTTTATTATTTTTTATTATTTTGTACACGAATAATTTGATGAAGCTATTTGAGTGATATTTTCACTATATATATAGAAATTGACGTATATAATAACAAGTCATGAATTTTTAAATTTCAAAATATTTCCAAAACAGAAAAACTATGAAAGAGATTTTATATATTTCACACATAATGTTTATTTGGTTTGTGGAATTTTATATTGTCATAGATTCATGTAAGAGATATAAATTGTACTTTTTACCATTACGTAAGGTTTATTTTTTCTATTTATTTATTATTTTGAAAACCACAAGACCTATCCCTATGAAAAAATCAATTACATATATTTTTTAATTACAATTTTTAACCAGACTATAGATATTTCATATCATCATATGGCATGAAACATACATAAATTTGTCTACCTCTTTTGGCTTTTTTTTTTCTATAATGTAAAAAGTAATGTTTCTTGCAATGGCATGTCAAGAAGAGGTTGAAATGTCCTAGATGAGGTCAACAGACCGTAACTTAGTCTATGGATCGAATTTAGGAGAATAACTATGCGGCAACATGATATAAAGCCTCTCAGGCTTAGCCCCGTGAAGAGCATAGCATATTAGTAAATTAATTGGCTTCTTGATGTTGAACGGATCTAACCCATTCAGTAAGTCTCTTGCGGTATCTACGTGAAACTTGATTAAACATTACGACAATTTCCATGGTAAGCTTTTAACTAGGAATGCAACACTTTCCCTACCATGGATGAAAAATACTGCTGCATAGGTCAATTGCGGTATATACGTGAAACTTGATCAAACATTACAACCATTTGCATGGTAAGCTTATAGCTAAAAATGCAACCCTTTCATTGGCATGGATGAGAAAGACTGCTGCATAATTCCGTTCCCCAATCCAAGCTCGAATTGTTCTTCTACTAGATGCGACTGTATTGATAATGAGCAGTTACCCTTAGGATAAAATATGATCGGGCCACACTCGACCCGACCAGGTGCGCCGCGTATAAACAGGAGGACCCTTTCATTCGAGCCCGGCCATACTTTACAATAATTAAATATGTCCTGATAATGCCTAGGCCCGTAGAAAATGAAAAGGAAGAAGAAAATGGAAAATGGAGCGCGCCGAGTGGAGGGCTCCAGGCAGCTTAGCTTAGGGAGTGGAGTGGAGTGTTGGGACGGCCGAGGGCGATGGTGGTGATGATTGACATGCTTCCAAAGACGTCAAAGGGGAAAAGAAGGAAGAATGGGGAAAATGTAGATTAAGGAAAAGAGAGGCCGCGAGGGAACACGATCGACCAACAGACGGAGGAGAAAGAAAGAAGGCAGAGAAAGAAAGGAGAGCAAGGAAAGGCGAAGGAATTTCGCTTTGGTGGGTGCGTGATTGCTCGTCGGTACGTGGTGCTGTTTCACAAACCGAGACATGCCCAAACATGTTCCACGCCCACCATGTGAGCATGCGAGGACGAGGATTAGGGTCTGGGCTCCGTTTTCAAGACGATGGAGCGAGAATTTCTCTTTTCATCGTTTGTGGAAAGTGACGACGAGCACGAGACGTCCACATGATGCGCGACGGACGATGTGCAACCCCTTGTCGGTTCCGCCAAGTTGTCTGCCGCATACGTTAATCCCTCCTCGTAGAATATTACGCCCTCCTCTCGAGCCTCGAGCCTTCTTGTTTCTCCCAAACCTGCCTGGAGACGTTGTGCTCAAACCCGCACGGATAGATATATCGATAAATCGATCGTCTCACGAACTCCACTGTCGCTTAATCTCCTCGCTTTTGGAAACATTCGGTCCGTTGCCCGCCCCTACAGCTCCATCTCATCCTCGGTTTGCCACGAGCTCCGCTATCAAGGATCCCAACTTACGACGTTCAGCCAAGAAGGGGGGGCTGCTGTTCATGGCTGCCCCCAGGAGCTCGTCAACTTGCAATAAAGGCAACGAAGCTGCGCAGTCCGGTCGGTGGAAGCCGAAGCCCAAGCAGAAGCCCAAGTCCAAGTCCAGTCAACATCTCGGGGCGAGGACAAGTTGCAGCATGCGAGGGGCCGGGTCTGGGGAGTCGCGACGCGCGCGACAAAGGCCCAGCGAGGATACCCGCAATCATGACCGGCTGCCTGCCGGAGCAGAAGCGCAGCCATGGTTCCTCGCACAACCATGATGGGACACCCGATCCGAACCGGCCACAAAGCTCCGACTTCCGGGCGGGCGACCGGCAGCTGTAGGGGTGGGAGGCTCTCGGCGCCTCGGCAGCGAGGGAGGGAGACAGAAAGGGCGAACTCGTCGTAGGGCTTGCATGCACGAATGGCCGGCCGGCTGGCCGGGGCTGGGGCTGGGCTAGGGACTCTGGAGATAAGGTACAGCAGATGTGCATGCGCTGCGCAGGGGGCAATCGTAACTCGTAACTCCTGCGCGTCCTCGTCGTCCCGGGCCCGTCCAAGTGGAGGCGAGGAGAGCAGACAAGAGGCGCCAAACATGCGAGTCAAATGAGGGTCGCATGCCGGCTAAAATAGATGGCAGCCAACCAGGACTTGGCTGGAGGGCTTAATCCCGATAGGACCAAGGGGGCGATCCGTGGTTAGAACTCCCCCCGTGCGTGGACAAAAGGTCTCGCCATTCCGGAGGACCATTCCTTTTCGTGCCCTGACTGTCAGTCGCAGTTATGCGCGGGCAGGTCGCTGGGGCTCGCCCATTGGGGCAGAGAGAAAACCCGTCATCGCGATGCCCAGCGTGGGGCAAGTATTGTGGCGCGACGGGGGGAGGGGCAATTAAGGGAATAATTAAGCACGAGGCGCGCTCCGGGGGTGAAATCTGCCGGAGCTCCGCCCGCTCTGCACGTGGCGGTCGGGGAAGCGAGGTCCAACCGTTTTACCCGCAAAGACCCGCCCGTCCCGTCCCAGCCCGTCCCGGCAGTTGAGCATAACTGCCCCTCGCTCCCCGTCCGGAGTCCGGATTGGCCGAAGAGCCCGCTCGCTCGAGCAACGGGCGTCGTCGGAATCGGCGAGCGGATAAGCGGGGGGCTACCCAGCGGCCCGCTCACCGCAAATTCCGATGGCTCTGACGGGCCGACGTCAGCCATTTGCAATCGTCGGAGTCCGTGCCCCACCCCCCTCCCCTCCCCTCCCCCACCTCCGCCCCTTCGACCCTCTGGACAAACCGTTAAAAACTAGATCTGCCTCCGTCGCCGTTTCCGTAGTCGTCGCGCGCGACCTCGCTTCGTGACCGAATCGGCGCCGGCGCGTGGCTTCAGGGGCAATCGTCGCGGGTCAGTCAAACGGCCGCGGGAAGGTGCCTCGGTCCGAACGGGGGAGGGGGAGGGGGAGGGGCTGGGACGGGGCTGGGGCTGGGGCTGGATCTGAGCGCATGATTGATTTGGCCGCAGAGTAGGCGCCGGGTGAGAGTGGTGTGCCTTGGGTATTAGCTACAGCTTGTATTCATGCAACAAAGAAACTGGTCGCCAGTCGCTGTCTTCGACTGGCGTCGTCGGGGTCGAGTCGACCGCAGGTTGACTCGAAGGCGAGTGGGCTGCGGTGATCAGGTTGGGAGCGAGCGCCGCTAAAATGGACTTGTAAGAAGGGCGCGTAAGTTTCGGGCAAAAAGCTTGGAGGACATGTCGTGAGCTAGCAGAAATTGCGGTGCAGAGGATTAATAGATTGAGAAGTATTGAATGTGAATGTGCCATTGGGCCCACGCTGTCAGAAGAAATGGAGGCAGGCAGTAGCCCGACCCTACCAGCCCCTGCGTGCCTCTCTTCTCTCCAGTCGGCGGCAGTAGCATTCTGCGAACATGGCAGTCGACATATATATAGTTCTCAGTTGCCCATCTCATAGGCAATCAAGGCACTCAATCCTTCTCTCAGCTCTCATACACTACTTCCTCTTCCCGATCCGTCCCGAGCTTCTCTCGCGGCATCCCATCGGTCCAAGAGAAGTCTCATCCGGCATCAGGATAGGCGTCGAGCGAGCTGCGAGCTCCAGTCACTTGGATTCAGAGTCTGGTTGGTGGGACGGCAGGAGCTCTCCACCCCTGCATATTGTGAGCTTCATCTGAGGATCGCCTTGCAAGCAGCGCATTCTGCACCGGGGCAACAGCTCCTCCAGCAGAAGGGTCTGAGCAGGATATATTCGAACACGAGAGCTCGAGCACTAGCACCGCGGCTTCCCGAAATGGTGACAGGAATGAGGAGCTTTTTGATGACTGTGGCAGTCCTTCTCTTCACCGAGAAGGCGTTTCGTGTAGCGGATGGGTGGTCGACTGCCCACGCGACATTCTACGGCGGGAGTGACGCATCTGGCACCAACAGTAAGTTTCTGAACCCGTCCTTAACTCTGGAGCTTGGCATTGCGGACTTCATTGCTCTGGTCTGGGAAGTTTGGGTCCATCTCTGAAAGCTCTTCGCGCATCGCTAACTGAACTTTCTCTTCCTACAGATGGTGCATGTGGCTACAGCAATGTCTTCGCCCTCGGATACGGGACGATGACAGCGGCATTGAGCGCGCCGCTCTTCAACGACGGGCTGTCGTGCGGAGCGTGCTTCCAAATTCAGTGCTCGGGCGACGCGGCGTGCTACTCCAACTCCATCACCGTCACCGCGACCAACCTCTGCCCTCAGGGCAGCTACGGAGGCTGGTGCGACTACCCGAACGCGCACTTCGATCTATCGCAGCCCGCGTTCTCTCAGCTCGCCCAGACCGTCGCAGGTCACGTCACTGTCAACTACCAGAGGGTGAACTGCAACAGGCAGGGAGGAGTGCGCTTCCAGATCGATGGCCACACTTACTTCATGCAGACTCTGATCTACAACGTCGGCGGCTCAGGCGACGTGGTGGCCGTCCAGGTCAAGGGCTCCAAGACCGGCTGGATTAGCATGACAAGAGGGTGGGGCCAGAATTGGCAAACTGGCACGGTGCTTGACGGACAGGCGCTCTCCTTCTCCGTGAAGACCAGCGATGGCAAGACATTGTACCACAATAATGTCGCTGACTCTAACTGGAAGTACGGGCAAACATTCGAAGGGGCTCAGTTCTAGGCTCTCGCAGCAGCAGCAGCATCGCATCCTGTAACAGTATAAAATCGAATCATCCATTTCCATGAAAATCGAAACCGGACCGGTGGCAGGGTTTTTGTCTTCCAAACCTCTGATAACAGACAATCTGGGAGCTGTCACTACGACTGTGGATAATCCGGTGGCTTTGTATTTCAGAATGGTGCTCTCCGATGCTGAGGTCCGGGCAAAGGCCGCCCACTCAGAGAGCCCAATCATACGACTAGGAAAGTCTCGAGAAGCTGATAGTATTACCTCAAACAGAGGGTGCATTCAAGGTATAAGGGGCTTATGTGTAATAGATGTTGGAATAGACGCTTTTGAATAGTCTTTCTAACTGTGTAATTTGTATCCGCTGTGAGAAAATGAGAGCGCTGAGATGAGCGACCATGCCATCCGCCTCTCTCCATATTAGGATATCTTTGCTCGGAACACCCAAGTTATTGTATGGTTTACCGATGATAGTGAAAATTTTACATTACGACATATATCTTGGCCTGGATACTCGAATGATACTGTGAGTGAATGTGTGTTGATTGTATTTGTCTCTCTTGTTCGTTTCGATGTATAGAGACTCTGTATGCATGTCACAATGTCAGCCCATCCTCATTCTCAGGAGGAAATGTGTGAATTCTCTTTGATACATTTCAATTGATCTATTGATATGAATAGATTCTTCATCGACAGGTGCGAGACATTGGAATGGCCGAAGAAAATTGGATAGATCAATTGCCGATATGTAATGCTCGTATCGAACAGATGTAACCATAGTCGCAAATACGCTGCAGATGGATGGAAGAAGAGAAGGAAAAGTGCGGAGGAAAAGATAAAATCGTCTGATGTGTGAAAAGAGAAAAAATGTGCAAATGCAGAACAATGGCATTGTTGAAAATGAATCAATAATTGTAACAATTTTTTGTCAACAACAACAAAAACACGTAAATAGTCAGCAGAAAATAGCAGACGATGAAAGACAGTAAAAATTCAAAATAATTGTCCTGCTTGTCCATGTAACAAACGGAATGTGAAGTACATTATTTCGATCGAAAAATAATATGCACACTTTACGAACATCTTCCCATTGGTTTATGTCAAACCATGTGGCCTCTAATGTTGCGTCAAAGCACAGTTTATCTTTCAAAACTCTCTTTTTATAATAAATGGAGGGGCAAATACAAGAGAAGGAAATTTGGCACACGAATATGTACCAGAAGCAGATCATTCCTATTTAGGTTAAGGATGGTTGTGTGAGTGCGTAATCTAGCGGCTGGGATACGACTCGCGCCGCATAACAGGAATATGGACCACGGTCGCCAATCTGATGGACTAGGGCCGCTGAAAGTCCAGGCCAAGCTCTACGCTTGGCTCGTGAACCCAACTCCACAGGCTGAAAGCTCCAAGTAGAAGAGGGCACGCAGGATGGGACCTGTTTCAGGTCATGATGCTCTGGGATTCAACTACCGTGGCTGCGCCATTCTCCAGGTGAAATTAGGAGAGTAAGAATGGACATAGAAACCATCATCAGGCCTACGGGGTCTTCTTTAGCTCCTCTTTCTCGGCACATCATTGCATCGAGCATGAACGCACAAAAGCCTGCCTGTCGTCGGAGAAGCATACACACTCGTTGCAATGAATGCCCCATCTAAGAATGCATCCATCATTGTCTACGAGACAATGGAGTGAATCGACAAGGCCGTCCCAGGATCCTCGAGCTGGGCGAGCTGGGCGGCATCACACTACGTAGCAGCAGGACGCACGCTAATCTCCTTGCTCTGATCACCTTTCTGTCACCGCCGATAAGCGCATCTGGCGGACATGTCGTTGTTGGCGTGGCTTAGCGAGATCATTATCTTGGCTTATAGCCGGACAGGGGCATCTGCGCGCTAAAATATGAGCGCCTCGTTTGCTCGAGCACTCGAGGAGTTTTCACTCTTTCTAGGCAAGGGCGACGCGCTTTTTTTTAAATCTGTGTGGTCCCGTGAACGATTCTCGAGCATGTGATCGGCGAGAAGAAGAAGGCGAGCTCACGGGGAGGGAGGGAGAGAGTGGAAGAAAGGGAACGGAAGAGCCAGAGGTTAGGACTACGCTCGTAGACCTCGAAAGGGGTGGATCGTAGGGGCCCCCTCGGAGACAGCCGAGAAGACAGACAGACAGACTGACAGTGCCTCGGTTGAACCACCATGACTTTACTTTTATTTTCGCGAGAGCGCAATAGCGGTCAACGTGGAAAAGCGGATTGGTCAGGGGCGCCCATAGGCATTTCGAATCTGATGATCTCGCAGACGAGAGCAAAGCCTGACGAGACCTCTTACCGTTAACAGATGTGCAGCAGCAGCAGCTTCCCACCTGAGCTCCCTCGCGCGATGCAAGACCTTGGCTCTTTCTCAGTACAGACACACAGTACAGTCTACGCCCGTCCATGCTCGACGGTATGCGGCCGGATGGATGGATGGATGGATGGATGGATGCATTCATAATGGCTGGCTATCACGAGCAAAAGCCGACCTCCTCCTCGGATCGATGCACGACGACTTCAGACCGACCGATCTGCAAATCTCCGACCCCTTCTGTGACTCGACAACGCGCCTTCCTGGACTCTGTGCGCTCGGATTGGTGCCGAGCAAAAGCGACGGCCAGCGATTGCCTCGTCCTTGCACGACGAGGAAAGCGGGGGCCGCTTCGGATTGGATGTGCCACTCCAATCTCTCCAATCTCTCCGTCCCTCCGTCGTCCGGGTTCTCTTTTCAGGAGTAGTCGACGGTACAAGACGCACGCAGGCAGACGACAGATGCGGACGACAGAGCGTATTCTGTATTCGCTCCTGCGACAGATCGTGTCGTGTTTGTCCGGCCTCCATCCTCATCTCGACCGCTGGTTGGCTTCGGCGTCTGCTCTGGCCGTCGCAATGCCGGGCGTTATTTGTGCTGCAGCAGGCATTGCCCTCAGAATTAGACTCCGATCCGGTACACTTGATAATAACACTCTATAGCCGAATTTGCCGTGCAGCTGCTGTCAGACCAGACCGAGGGAGGTTAGTTGTCATTGCTGTAGCACAGCCGCGACGAGAAGGTCAATCTATGACCATTTGGAATTGACATAGTCGTTCCTGTAGGCGAATTAGATTTTCACGACAAATTTTCACTTGTCGGAACATTCAATCGTTTCGAGGTATGCTCCACAGCCTAATTTTATCCATCCGGAAATTGCTGCGGGACCATCCGAAAATAACGCGCATCTATCACCACATCTTGTAGGACGGATTTCGAATACCCTCCAAAATTTCCAAACACGCTAATTTTGCAGAGTAGCTAACTACTAAATTTCAGATACTTATGTTGCGGGATTTATTCATCCATTCCATATATATATAAATATAAATAAGTAAAAGCAAATGCCATCATCACAATTGGGCACTTTCAATCTAAAGTTCGCAGAGGGAACGGAGGCTCCGTGAAATATGGGAAGTGGGGATGACCCTGCTCCCCGCCTAGAAGCCATAGGCGACCGCATAGTGCCTAGGATTTGTGACTTTGAGGGCACTCTAGACTAGCACTTTTCCTGGAAAATGTTATAAAGCCAGCATTTTCTTCACTCAATGCCACTAGTGTTTTCAGACCTCCCGTGAAGTTGACACTAACAAGGCTCTAAAGTGTCTGTCTGCATGGAAAGCCACGGCTGGAATCTCACCGATACAGATGAGAAAATTCATCCACATCGATGTAGATCTGCATGTTAGAACTTAAAAAAATAATTTGAATTATAAATTCTATGTTCCATGAAAGAAAATATAGAATGAATAGACTGATAACTTCTTCTTTTTTTTAAAAAAAAAATATTTGTTTGATTCAAATGTACAAATATTATAAAAAATAATAACTATAACTTCTTTGATATTTACATTTTTTTTTAGAAAAAATAAATAAAAAATCGAATGGAAACGTGGAGAAGACTTTTCTACGGCATCTAAACTAGTTGAGATAGATCTTCCCCGATAGGTGCATTGGTGACCACCGGAACAAGGGTCCCATGTAGCAAGGTTTGCTCCCAAAGATTTGTTTTCATCTTCTGGACAAATCTATGCAGGAAAGATGGGAGAAACATTCAAAACGAGAGAAATTTTCCAGCATATGAGGACGTCACATTGACAAACGTTGATGGTTTCTTTTGATTTACCCATTTTCACGTTGACGATGAACAAGAAGACATGAGCAGTGAACAAGATGTTTAGGGGTAGACCCAAGACCTTCAGAAGATGCTATTGCAAAAGGGAGAAACACAATGATACTTTTCAAACAAGAAATTCTAGTTTTATTTGCACGAATCATCTCATGGAGAGGCTCCTACATCCTAGTTCACCTAAAAGATACGAGACCAGAGCACAAAAGGCAACTCCTTGAAGCAATTTCTTCACTTGGGGGCTTGCTAGCAGAACCTTTTGAGGTTAATTAATGGACCGACACATGTTCATCTCTCCCATATGACAAAAGGAAAACCTTCTTCACCGGTGGTGAGGATGGTGGTGACGACCTCCATAACCTCAACCTTTTACCTACAAACTCTCTTACAACTGAGAATATTGAATTTGCAATTTAAACATATACCAAGAATTATAAGGGAAAATTATCACGTCCAAATTTATGAAATAAGACATAAGGCATAAGAGTTCTTTGATATCCTCTAGTTTTTTCATCACTAAGGAATTTTCTTATCTTCAACAAATCCCAAGCCCCCAAATATATAGAATGTCTTTTTACATCTCTAGATGAGATTTCATACACTGCAACATAGACATGCCTCAAGACTATAATAGTGAGATTTTTTGGACTCATATCAAAAGAGAATATTATTTGTAAATTTTTATTCAGTTCATGATAGGAAAATAGAAATAGATCAGGGAAGGTTAACAATTTTTTTAATTTTTTTCTACTTTATAAACATGAGAATTACAGGATATTTGTACTGTATTAGGCAATATAAAAAGAAGTTCATAAACATCTAGCAAAAATGACAATATGATACAGTAAATTTTTCCTAAGCATTAAAAAGATAAAAAATACTCATATGAGAAAAGAGATCTCTTCAGGCATGATATTCATAATATTTTTTTCCTGATTTTAGGCATTTATATCGACTCACACACCTCAAAGGTTAAGACAAAAATTCTCACAGCGGAGTTAAATTTACCGTCATGGTGAAAAATTCCTACAAACATATCAATCGTAGAATTCTAAGTATATCTTCAATGTGATATAAAAGTAAAATACATACGTTGACTACGAAGCATAACAATATCTAGTTGATTGAATTCATATTCGACTTACCAGTCATGATGAAATTTAGACATTTAGAAATTCATATTACATGAATTTTGTAATAAATACATCAAGATTTAAAATCTGAATTACTCTCGACAAATAATCCAATTTTAAGCATATCTAAAATTGCTTATTCTAACATACACCAAAATTGATTGCTGCATATTAGAAACCAATTTCGGTGTAAAAAAACACTTCAAGCATATCAAAGTATGATCTTATATGCAAAAAAAAAAGACTGGAATAACATGATATTGCACTATAAAGCACTATAATCTTAACATGAACAAGATTAACAAGCCAACTTAATGCTAACTAAATTATCATACAAACCTAACTATCCTTGTTAGTAATCAATTCCAGTAGATTAATATGCCAGACATATTGCATGCCAATTCATCTCTGCAAATTTATTATGGGTTTTGATGCTTCAAAATTAAGTAGAATGTCAATTATTTCATTACTAAGTGAAATGTATGAAAGTACAAATCAGACCGTTGAATAATGTGAAATGAGGTAATATTGAACCAACATGCATTTAAAGAATCTACTCTGTTCGTCAAGCTAACTCATTTCAGAGTATATAGATAAACTTACTAACAAGCTGAAGTGAAAGATCCAAATAAAATATCAAATTTAGATTATTTATATTTCCAATCATGTGTTCATATATGCTTTATCATTGTTGTAAGCTCATCATTGAAATCATAATATTATATATAAAATATTTAAAATTATTTCAGATATATTTAAAAGATTTTTAAAGAACCAAAAGTTTTTTCTTCAACATCTAAACTGATATTTCATTTTATCAGGAGCATTTTTTATTAGTAAATAGATATCAAAATTCATTTGCACTTAAATCTATTTTTCATGACAATCCAAACAATACTTCATGTCTATGAAGTAAGGAATTGTGGTGGCGCACATTGTGCTCACTTATCCAACTCTACACATCTCACAAAGATCTTTATGCGACATACTTGAAGGATCTTTTGAGTTAGAGTCTGAAGTCAAGATCCACATACAACTTAAAGACTCCGTGTCTGAATTTTTTTGCGTCATAGGAATAGGAGTGCTAAGAATTGCCTTGTAATGGATGGTTTGACTCTAATTGCAAGCTAGCTAGAACGATATCTGCTTGAAGTTTTTTAGATATTCAAAGTCGGCTTCATTTGACAATGATATACAAATATTTGGTAAGGTATAAAATACGAGCTTTCTTGAGGCGAAACCAAGAATCCTTGACTAAGTAGCTAATGAAAGATTCCAAGTCTTTTTAGAGAGGGTTGGCTGTATCATCTTAAACACCTTTGAATCCCGATGCTTTATCCACTTTTGCCAAAAATCTTTACTTCTTTCCTAAAGCTAATTCTATGCCGAATTGCGTAGCAGTACTAGGTTTAAATTCTGAAGAGGAGATGATGACTCTACTCAGCAGATTAGCAAATGCCAAATGTGAGAATTTATATGGTTTGGCCGTTGAACTTCTCAAGTGAGGAGGATATGGTATTACCATTCTCACAAAAGCTTTGAAAGATGCTTCCATCTATGGTTTTTCTCAAATTTAGTCATTACGTTAGATTTTTCCTATCCACAAACCAAGAAGAAAAGATGTGATCACAAACTATCATATTATTATGATTGGTAGTGTTTTTGCCAAGTTGTTTGGTAAGTTGATGGAATCAAAGTTGAATA